CATGCTGTAGTAGCTGTGTGGAAAGTGGATGGGCCACACAAAATGCCACAGTGACATTCTTCTGTCTGCCTGACATGGACTGGGTAGACATAGATAATGCATCCTGCCTAAGCAGGAATAGCTTCACTGAATTTACTGGAGTTGTATAATTTATATATGTCTAATCTGAGTCATACGTTTCTGATCTTCACTGAAATATTTTAAAAAAATCATCCTGTTTCTCATTAATTGGTATGAGTAAGCATTTCTAGGTATCACAGTAGATAAATCAGTTAGAAAATAAATAATTTCTTATTGTCTAGACAAGAGTGTTATAACATTTACATGGGCGTTTTTCCCTTTAAAATTCCAATATATTTCATCAGTTATTCCAGTCTAGATTCTTTAATACCCAATAGTCCAATTCTTTAATACTTAATAGTTCAATTAAAGTAATGAGAAAAGAACAGCGCTCAACTGTCAGTCCTACTAAAGGACGGTTTTTCACCTACAAGCCTTCTGTCTGCAAACTTGCATGGGAATAGTAGATAAACAGAGAATGACACAATATAAGGAGAAATAAAAGCAGATCTTGAGTCACCCCAGCTACTAGATATTACATTACAGCTGAGAATAACATCTCACACAATTTATACAGGTTTCTTCCTTGACACATCTAAAATTAGTCTTGTGTCACACTATAGACGCGTGATAAAACTCTGTATAGATCTAAAGAGAAAGAATAGTTGTGTAGTATACATCTGTACAGTAGCTTCCTGAAGGGGTTTTTGTAGTAGCTTTTCTATATATGCTGTAGGAGAGACTTTTTACTCTAAGCTGATAAATTTTAGGGAAGTTTAATACTGTGTTCATAGAAACTTTATATCATTATATATTCCTATAGTTGCCTTCATCTTCCTTATCACATTCCCTCTTATTTTAGGTTAGCTCCCTTATTGCATTCTAAATTACAAGGTATTGAAAACTACAGTTTTTAAGATATGGATCATCTTCTCTGAAGTTTTTTTTGCATCGTCTTTCCTACTGGAGCCCTAGCTTTACAACAATCTATGCCTACTGCTGTCACACATACAATAGCAGAACAACTAAATGCATTGCCATGAAGAAATCTAAGGAGTCTGCAGCTCTGCCAAAACACATAACTCTCCATCATTTAGAAAGCTGCAATGATATTTCAAGACTGCACATGATTTTAAATTACTTGAAGAACCATATGACCAAAGAACATGCAGCAAACACAAGGCAGAAAAGAACCCTCCATCCCTCCTGGAAAAGTAATCCTTTAAAAAAATGCAAAACAAACCAAAACAAGCAAACAACATATTTCAGTAGCTATTAAATCTTTTTTTCCCCTCACACCCAATGTCTGAAAGCTCCTTCAGTTGTTTCAACACTAGAATTTCCGAAGTAGATAGCAATTTAATTAGCAAATAATAATAGCAAAATGCATTTAGAAGGTCTTTTAATCTTTCAGGTAAATGTTTTTATTTCCACATAGTTGTGGGGGAACAGACTACAAGTTGATGGTCTGAATGCACCAGATGGGAATTGCTGCAACTCAGTGACAGCCCATTGAGAGCCACAACGAGGGATTTGGAACACTAACACACAGAGCCACAGGCAGGTGACAACCTGCGCTGAGATAGGGCATTTATGCCAAATAAACACTCAAGTAAACCCAGGAGATTTATTTCCATGGTCAAGTACATATTGTTATGAATTTAGGACTTTTCTAGAATACTCTGTGAATAGAGTGTGCAGATCTGGTTGGGCTGTTTCCTGTCTGCATATGTATGCTCACTTGACTGCTGTAAGGAAAAGCAAGCATGAAAGAAAAACAAAGGCTTGAAAGAGGAGAAGACTCTCCAAAGAACTGCAGATTTTAATTTTCCAGGGTATACACAAACTATTTTTCCAAGTAAGCAAAATCCTACAAAAGCAAAGTTCTGACATTATGAACAGACCTCTGTCACAAGTGACAGGTAACCATTTGAGGTCCTGCCAGACACACCATCTTTTTCAGAGGAATGGAAACTTGTCTGGGCTAAGCATGCAAAAGGTGGACATCTTATGGGATATTTCCTTTTTTCTTTGGACATATTTCTCTCTGTATTGGTTTGTTGCTGAATACTATGAACTGCACATTTTCACAGCAGTTGGGTGTCTACATCAGACAATACAGAGGGCAGAGGTAGTAGTCAAGAAGGCAATTGTTCCCTGAGTCCATGCCACAGTGGGGACAGATGCCTACCAACACCTGCAAATGTGACTCTCATATTCCTGCTGCTTTCCTTCCCTCCCAGTAAAGGCACATTTAAAAACCATGTTCTGTTGTAATGCATTCTAAAGAAAAGGGGGAAATTCCTGCTGAAAAGGAGAGAGCAACAGTGATTGCCATGTTTCCTCTTTTCAGATTGGAAAGGACAAATCTTACAGGTTTTGACATGTTATTGCTTCTTCAACAATGGTAAGATCTCTGCAGGGATCTGTGTAACTTATTTCTGTACTTTATTGAGTGGATCAAAATCCAGAAGTTATTCAATTTTTGGGGTTTTTTAGTTTAATACATGTTATGGGACTTAATGCACACACCGTTTTAAAATTGTGTCACTTTTCAATTACACTCAAAATATATCTACTCTCACAGACCAAAGGTGTCAAAAGCCACCAAAGGCCTAAGGCCCACAAGTGAGACCAATTAGAAATACATAAAGCTTTGGTATTTGTTGTCACTGGTGATCAAAAATTTCAGAGACAGGACATCTCTAAGATGCTGTGACTGCTGACTGAGAGGGAACAAATGGAAATTCTACACTCCCTCAGCGTTGCCTAGAAACAAGGGGAATATTTCTAAAAATGCTTACTTACATTTATGTGTTTTAATTATCTACATGGTGGAAAAAACATAGGAACAACAAGGAAGAGACTATGAGAAATCTGTCATATGGGTTTGTACAGAACAGCCTAACACTGTATATTGAGTACTAGAAACTGACTATTTGGGAAACTGACATTCAGAATTCAGAAAAAGAAACAAAAAGTCTTTTAAAAGTATAGAAATTTAACTATGAGCAGCATGTTTTCGTGGTTTTTTGGAAAAAGCAAACAGAGACAAGTGTTTTCTGTGACATGATTTCTCTACTAGAGAATTATGGCCAACCACTTAGAGGTGTACACTTGTACACTTGCTGTGTACACTTATTATCTTGTGTACTTATTTTCATTCTCTCCAGTATCTTCAGGTATCTGAAATAGAAACTGTTTAAAGATTATCTCTACCTTTAAAATCTACAGATTTAATGATCTGAATGGTATCAAAGTATAAACCAGACACCCTGAAACACAAGAACAATGGTAACTAATTTCCAGAAGCTCTTTCCCCAAATCTCTAATTTCACACACAGTCTGATTCAGAGAAAGTACAACAAAAACAAATGAACAAAACAAAACAAATATAAAACAAAAACCAACCAAAACCAAACACATGACCAAAAACAAACAAACAAACAAAACTCATACCCAAAGTCTTGCATTGTGGTTTTTTGGTTTTGTAATTTTTTCCTGGCAGATATTTTCCAAGACATTGACCTCAAATCCAAGACACATAAAGGAAAATTACAAAATGCTATCGAATTATTTTGATTTGACAAGAAGGTAAGGTGTTTGTGACCTTATGGTTAACAGTAGTTGAAATGCCATGGCAACTGATGCTTTTATAGAAAAAGCAGTTAGAAAGACAGAGGACCACCAGAAGACAGAGGACCGATGAATTTCCAAGGCATATATTCCCTCCCCTGACCTCTCCCAGACAAATTTGATCCAACTACATTTAAGGATGATTTTACAGAAAACAGAATTAGATTGCCAAAATTATCACTACAACATGAAGCACAGAAACTAAGGCTACATCGAAGAAGTTCTTCATATAGCTAATTGGTATATCTAAAATTAAAAGGGACATCACAACATTCAGTAGTCAGAATGCTACTGAAAAACTTTTTGAAGTGTTTGGAAGAGTCTACACAAAGTACTGGGGTAGATAAACTACTGGTTCCATCCAACATGTATATTTGTGTGACCAAGTGAAAGCATTGACTGAGGCAGAAATAAGGAAGAAAAGTTGTTTTCAAGTATCAGCCCCTTGATTTTGCTATGATTTTGAACCACATTCAAATTAATTTTTCTAGCCTGTAAGGAAGAGTAGCAAATCACATAAAACATTATATTTAGCCTTTAATTAACACTCATTTCTAGATACTGAAGTGGAATGTCCATCCATTTGGGACAACATGTACCCTTTTGTGATCTGTCAGGCTATAGAGGGGACTGCAGTACCCCTGGCTGGTCAGTGAGAAAAATCTTGACACAAAAAGTACAAAAGACAGAGCTCTGAGGTTTCACATTAGGGAAAATCGCAACCTGTCAAGACAAACTGCAAATACCCTATTGCTTCTTCAGAAAGTTCAAATCCAGCACATAGGCATGCACACATTGGTCAGTGATGGGATCAAAGGCTGCTTTTCAAAAGGCTGTTTTGTGGTTCATTTTTAAGGTGCTGTTCGTTTTCAAAGACATTGAGATTAATTTCTTCAGTGTACTGGGAACGCTCGAGGCTCTCGTTTTGTCACTCGTTCCCTGAAATATCAGCAGTTTGCTGTGAATTTCTCCCGGGCATTCATTATCCTTCAACTTCCTGCAAAGTTACAAGGAAAAGGCTTAGATAATGACGGCCCATCCACCGACAGGGACAAAACACTCCCGGGGCAGCGGGATGGGGGTTTCGGGCCCGAGGCGCTGCGGCCCCTCCCCTCCGCCAGCCCGGCCCGGGGCAGCGAGGGCGGGCACCGCCCCGGCGAGGGCCCCGCGCCGCCCCCGCCGCCATGGCAACGCCGAGCGGGGCCCCGCGGGCCCGGCCCGCGCCCCGCCCGCCCGCAGCGCGGGACGAACTGCCGCAGCCGCCCAGCCGAGCCCCGGCCGGTGCCGTCCCTCCGGGCCCGGCCGGGAGCATGGGGCTGAAGACCCAAGCCGGCGGCAGGCGGAACCAAGGTGCGGGGGGCTCGGTGGCGGCAGCGGGAGGAGCGGGGAGCGCTGGCCGCGGCAGGGCGGGGGCTGCAGCCCGAGGGACGCGTTGCCTTCCGGCCTCCCCCGTCTCTGCCGGCCGTAGGGGTGCGGAGCGCGGTCCGTGGCCCTTCTCGCCGGGGGCTGGGGGCGGGCGGCGCCTCCGCCTTCCCCGCTGGCGTGTGTGGGCGGGCACGGAGCCGGCTCGGAGCCCTCGGCGGGGGAGCCGCCCGAGCCGCCGTGGCTCCTGCAGCGGGGCTCGGGGGTCGCGCCTCGCTCCTGCCCGCGCGGCCGCCCCGAGCGGTGCCGGCCCGTCCGTCCGTCCGCATGGGGAGCGGACGGGGAGGTGGCCTGGCCGTGGAAAGAGCCGAGTGCCGCGGCTCTGAGAGGGGGCACGTACAGCCCGTGACAGGCTGTAATCCTCCGAGAGTCGGGGCCTGAGTTGTGCGTCCTACAGCCGTCATCGCATGGTGCCTCCTTACGGCACCAGCACCGAGTGCTGCTGCGGGCAGCGCTTCAGATTGCCGGGATCGGCCGCGTTTGCGAGGCTCATTTCTGTGCCCGCTTTTCTTTGTCGACTGTCGTCTTCTCCAAAGCTGCTATTCATTAATTGTTATAATGCATTGTACCCTGCGTGTACAACATCCCAGTCGTTTGGCAGTAGATCCAAGTGTTTCGGTTTGGTGGGATTTTAATGTAAGTATAGTTGAAAAATAAAAGACTCCAAAAAGGTCTTAAAAAGTGATTCCTTACCCACATTTAACCATCCGTGCGCTGCTCTGGTGCCCTGTTTCTATGAATAGTCCTAGGGGCACTTGACATTCATGATAGAAAAAGGCACAAACATGCAGAAATGCTTGACTGAGCCAACTGTGGCTCTTGGAAAATACCTAATATGTTTTTAGATATGAACTGGATTACATGCATAATGTAAGACAATTGTAGGAATTATTCAGTGCTGGACTGTAATGTCAAGATCGTACATCGCTGCATAAAATCAGAGCCATTTGAGATAATGTTAGGCTGTTGTGTTGCATCTCGGTGTCAGTTCCAATCTTTGGAGACAGTGACAGATGCCACTTGAGAAGATGTCTGATATCAAAGTACAGTTTGAACATAAATTCTAATCCTATATGGGAATATGAAATTCAGAGCAAAAACTAGTATCTTGTGCACCCAACTTTTATGCTCTCTTATGCAGTGTGAAGGCAGTTCTGTGGCAAATAGATCATTTTTCTGACTATTCTTATATTTGTCAAAATATTTTATAGACAATCAGAAAGCATGCCGATTGTCTGTTGACGATAAAAAGGGAATAAATAGGATACAGGATCTAAATTTCATTCAGATTGCAGCAAGCTTTGCTTGAATGACTTCTGTTGAACAAAAAAAAATTCAAAAGTAAGGAATTACTGTGTGTCAAACTGGGAAGGCATTGCTTGTCTGCAGAGGAGATGACAATGGAGGCAGAAATGTGTGACTGAACAGTCCAGTGTGAGGGTTCTCAGGCACGCAGGAAGGATCCTTACAGAGAGCAAGGATTAGCACAGGCACGTTAATACACTGAGCTGAGCTGGAAACCTGTATACCTGAGCAAACTTGGCAGAATAGCCATTGGGTTGCTTGCAGGTCATGAAAGTCGTATTTATAGTTTGTCAAAAGAGTTGTATCTAAAAAGTTAAGACAGAAAAGGTGGGATTCACTGTTCCATGTCCTGGTTGTATGACGTGCAAAGTTTCTTGTTCAGACTTAGCCTCATCATTTTAAAGAAAGAACCAAAATTTTACACTTGCTCATATCAGGCCTTGTTTTGTCTAGTGAGAGTACTGAGAAAATATAATATTTTTTTTAATGTATTGGAGTATACAGGACTTGCATGTAGGTCTTGTCAAAGTTCAAATAAGGCTGAGATTTTTATATGCTCCTAGAAATATCAAAGGATTAATCTGCAATTTTTTCCCTAATTCCAAGTATAAACCTTGAAGTTATTTGCTGTAGTAATTTCAGGAGTCGGTTAATATACTCACAGATTTATAGTATGACCTCAAATAATCTGAATACTGTAATTTTAAACTGGCTTTGTTGTTTAAATCCAGTCTTCTGGATCTTGAGATGTTTAATTCCCACAGCCAGTGGGAACACATACCTGAACAGAAATACCTAACAGCATCGTGCACCTGCTGTTAATCAGTGACACACATTTGTGCCACTTTTATCTTACAGCAGTGGGGAAGTCATCATTACTGCTGCATGGAGGCTGCTGTTAGATTTAGGCAATTTGCACAGGCTTCCAGAATTTTAAAGCAAAATTGAAATGCTTCACATGTTCATAGCCAATACCATCTTATTTAGATTTTCCCTGCTTTGTAGGAAGTCCTTGCATTAATCTGAGCCAAAAGACTGTTAACACAGAGACTTGGGGACTACTTTTTATTATTTTTATTACTATTATTTCTTCATTTGCCATTTGAACAAACAGCTTATTAAACTTACTGAATTACTAGTTTGGTAGCACTAGTTTTTAGAAGCTGAAGTTTTCTTTGACCAACAAGAAAGATGAAAAATTATTTAGTTGTGTCTTCAAAGAATGAAGGACGTTTAGAAGATTTATTTAAATCACAATAATTTTAACTGAAATTGGGAAATATTAATCACTGTTCTTAACTTTTTACCAAATTAAAACCTTCACTCAGGAAATCTCTTAAAACCTATCCTTAATGTAACTGTTACTCAAATAGTCTATTAAGTGAGTTTTAATCACTTAATTTGCTTAAAATCCTGACTCCATTCAGCAAATTACTTAAGTTTTTATAATTACTTAAATGCCTAATTGGCCCCATTTTATTGAGGATTTCTTCTGTGCTTCAAGTGAAATACCTGTTAAAATGAACAGTGTTCAAACCATTAATCCTAGTAGCTTCTTTGCTCCAGATTATAACCTGCAGCTTTCTTTGAGGCACAGTGGATCAGGGTTTCTCTGCTCTCCATTCTGGGTGAGGCTGGCTGTGCTGTAAGAGCTTTTGGTGATGTATTTCCAGGTAGAAACAGGTGCTCGTGGATGAAGGAAGGGGCATCCTTGTAGGTGCAGATTATACTAGCAAAATAGATTTTTTTTCCATATATTTAGAAGAATCTATATGTAATGTGTCTGTACATTTAGGTATTAAATATATGTTTTCTCTATTGGCTTGTTTGATGGTAAATACCGAAACAACTTCAAACTTCATGGGATGACTTAATGTAGAGTTTCGTGTAGCAGTAGAAGCCAGCACACACATTTTTGTGTAGGGTGTGCTCATGGGCCAGTGTTCTACCACCCATCATTAGTAACCTTTTAAGACAGAAGTTTCTAAACTGTGATATGAGTCTTGATTGTTGTTCACATATCACTGAGTAGCAGTGTGCAATCTCTTCTGGAATACCACCCCTCACACACCCTCCTAGAATATCAAAAACTGCTGGTGCCACTGCTAATTCTAGAGGTGCTGCCCAAGCCAGTGAACACAGAATTTTTAAGGCTGGAAAATCCCTGTGAGTTCATCAAGTCCAACCATCAAGCACCACCACCATGTTCACTGTTAAACCATGTCCTCTGGTGCCATACCCACACATTTTTGAGCACTTCCAGGGATAGCTTACACTCCATAGCCTCCTCAGGCAGTCAGTTCCAGTGCTTTGCAACTCTTTCCGTGGAAAAAAAAATCCAAATACGTAATCTGGACCTCCCCTGGCAAAACTTGAGGCTATTTCCTCTCATCCTGTCACTTGTTACCTGGGAGAAGAGTCTGATACCCACCTCATTACAGCCTCCTTTCAGGTAGTTGTAGTAAACTGACATAAATTTATTTGCTTTTGCCTGCAGTTCATATCACAAAACGTGCTACTGACACACACAGCTGTTTGTTACTGCTTTTGGAGTAGGAATAGAGCAGTAGCTTGCATCTAAAATTTCCCTTGCTGAAGCCTGTAGCTAGAAAAATTTTAAATATTTTTTAAGAGTCATTTAATCAGATATGGCTCAGCCTACTGTACGGTTTCATTAGATTCCTTATATTTTTCAGAGGAGGATGTGACTCTTGAAACTGAAATGCAATTTTGGTTGCATTGTTTTAATTTATATAGAATACTATAAGATTATTACTTCTAAAGGTCTGAGAGACCTAAATCTTAGGCATTGAGAGTATGTGTAAAGAAGAGGTTTTGTGTAATCCAGCACAGGAAGTGTATAAATAGTACCCATCTAATTAATGGCTTAGGAGGTTATGTATAGTGCATGTCAGGGGCTGTATCATTTCCATCATGTTTTGCCTCTGACACAAATGATTCCATGCAAAATTCAGATGGAACATTTGGGACTTTATTTCAAAATTGGGGTAGTGTGATTTCGTGGGTCTCTATTCATTGAGTTTTGCTTCAGGAAATTTAGATACTAATGACTATCCTTTCTGCTGGTGAATTCTGCCATTTATTAACAAATCTTAAATGTGATTCTTTTAAAGATGGCTTCACATGTGAGACCTTATACTCCCAGGACTGATAAGAGTTTTGTTATCAGTGAAACCAGAAAGGGATCCAAGAGGCTTCTGTTTCAATTGAAGAACAGGGAAGAAAATGGAGGTGTGATTATGATGTGCTTGTTTTGCCTCACTGTAACTTGGAGTACTAAAATGGAGTACTGTCTGCATTCAGTTAGTGGCTAAATCTAAAGCCATGTTTGAAGGTCTCTTGTGATTGCATAGGTGCTGCAGAAAAGTAGTGGAAACTTGCCAGGTTTTCACCTGTGTTCTTCACCTAAAGAAGGAGTCTCTGGGTGGGTCACTGCTCTCTGCTGGCCTTTTCATCTATTCAGTTCTGCATCTGTTTGCCAACTTCACCCATCTGTAAGTAAGAGCTAGGAGCATGAGTATTAGCCAGTAGCTGGGTTAGAGAAAACCCAACAAATTAATACACATTTTTTAGAGAACTTATTCTGTTCTGTGTTCATTCCCAGGTATGTAAATAGAGGGTAAGGACTAGACAGCCAAGGATAAGCTTAAACTTAGCAACCAGAGAAGCTCAAACTAGATGATCAATTGTAGTTCCTATAGCCCCTCATCAGCCACAGCTGAGCAAGTAGGGGATGTTTGAGGGAAGGAATGACCACAGGTAAAGAAGAGGAAGCAAACTGGGGGCATGTAAAGGAGTTTAAGGGAGATGGTACAAAGATGTAAGCTACATAAATAGGAGAGCTGGCCTCATTATTAGTACTACTAATAGAATATGGGGTTTTTTTAAAGTATATCATGCTAATATGAAAGGAAAATAGTTAAAAATAGAAAAAAATAGTTTCTTATTTAAATAAAATTTAAATCCAATGTGGAATTTTGTAACTAGCTTCGTCTTTTAATGTACTCTGAGCTATCAGTCTTTACTCTGTGTATTTCTGTGTTGTATTCATATATACAATAATTTCTGTAGCATAAAGAATTAATGGATGCTCTGATTTGAAAATTCTCCTAGTACCAGAAGGAGAGGAGCATGGATTTCAGGTCATGATGTAATTCCTTTAGGTATGACCTTGTCAGACATACTAGGTAAGATGCTTAAAGGAGTTTCTGTTGCTGCCGAAGTGATTTGGGATTTCACAGGGATTATTTAAACCAGTTTTGTTCTTTCCTCAGCACGTGAACAGCATTAGTGCTGTAGTGTACTGTTAGTTGTATAGAGTTAGAAGAGTTAATTCATAGCAGGAAGCCCACTGAAAAAATCATAAAACTGGTAGAATTAAGGGTAGTGATGATAAACATCCTTGACTTGTATGAAATTCACAGGACAAACCTTCTGCATGTTGTTGCCTGAATTATCCCTTTATACAAAGGTGTCTCTTTAACTATTTCTGGTTTAGAGCATTGAGATATTAGGGAACAAAAAAAAAAAAGGAAGAAAAAGTTGGCAGTGGAAGAAGCGAGAATACCAAACCTCTATAAATCACTGTAGTGGTTAGAGTGTTTGGAAAGCATTTGTTAACTTGGATTTTTAGCAGTGTCAGAGGGATCAAATGCCCAAATCTCATGCAAATGATGCAATTCTAGTCTGTTAGAGGCAGAGATGCTTTCTGCATTGCCAGCTGAGAAGAAGCCACTCTAGAGCTAGGAATCTAGGAGTCCTGGAGCCACCAAAAACCAAACCACTGCACAAAGGGGTCAATATTGACAGTGATAAGCATATTCTTCTGGAACAGCTGGGGAGACCTGAGGGTCTGGGAGCTGCCCTTTGGAAATTACAGTGTTCACAGGTCCCTACACAGTTAAGGTTTCATGGCTTGTAGTGATAGATTTAGATGCTTATATCCAGTATTCCACCTAAGGTTTCTGTATTTTTATGGATTATCTTCTAAGTAGCAAGTCTAGATGGGTAAGGGTAGTATGATTTATTTATTTATTTAATTTTTATTTGCTATGACTGAAGTACATGTTTGTTATAAAAATAGTAAGTCTAATACTTGTGTTTAAAATCTTCTCTGGGAGAACATGGTAATGAATGACTGGGCTTCTTTCCAGTACATATTCACGTTCCAAATCTGAAGTGGCTTTGTAGAAAAATGATTTCCACAAATTCTGCATATCTATTAACAACCGGGAAACAAAGTAAACCACCAATTTCTATAATTTTTAATACTGTAAAATCAGAAATTAAGATAGGATGCATTTTAAATTATAATTTTAATTTAAACAAAATATCTTTCAATTCTCTTTGGAATAATGTAGTTATTCGTTACATTAGATACCAGCTGGAAAAAAATTTAGAGAAAGCTTTTTTGTTTTTGTCTTCATTGTTGCTTAGTGTCATAGAAGGAACTAAAAGTTCAAATAATTTTTTAGAAGTATTTAATTTGTTTGCTGTCTGTACTTTAGGAGGACACTCAGTGTGAAAATCCTGTTGTTATATTCAGTGTGGACAGTCCACTTACATCTATTAGGAAATTCACATTTATATCAGATGTTACATGTATCATATATCAAAGATATTTTCGTGGTTATCCTCGCATTGTTTGGTTTATATTTGATTAACTGTAAATTACTGAAAATCCCACCTTCTCCTCTAAAATTCTCTTCACATATCTAAGCCTTCAGTTTGTTTCTGCTGTTGTGCAAATAGCTGTGAAAACACAGTCTGAATCCAAATAAATATCCATTCAAGTCAAAAGACAACCTGAAATTCTAGTTGTGAAACTTTTGACCAATAGCACTTTCTACCTTCGTTAAGGTAGAAAAGAGCCTGCACATACCAACTTCTCCACTTTCTTCTCGGACATCAGCGACATGCTTCTTCATAAGAGTGATTTCTGTGCTGTCTGTATGTCCATAGTCAAAATAGAGGACGCAGAAATATTTATTTCTCCCGACTGACACTTTTTGGCAGCTTTTCATGCCTATGAAATACTGATGCCTACTTCTTTTTTTAACTCCCTTCTCCTTACCCGCAAGCCGGATACAAATTAATTGTAAAGGACAAAGCCAGCAGGAGTGGTTTTCCCAGCAGAATTTCCACTGTGCCATCTGCTGGTGATGCAAAGCAAGTGAACATTGTAAAGTCCGATCTGCAGTGCTGAACAGTTGTGTCTCCAGCTGAAGGCAGTAAAGGCAGCAGGTTTCTGAGTGTCCCCGATGGTGTTTAATGCGGGACAAAGTCTTTTAGCTTACTTGAAGAGAATCGGTTGTACAGAGAAGAACAATGTCTGTTTTTTTAAAGTTACCATGCTTGCTCTTCTAAGATTCTGTCACATAAGGGCGAGTTAGAGGTGGTACTGTAAGCATTTACCTAACAATCCCACAGGTACTTCCCTCTGGAATTATAGCCTGACTCTGAAGCACAGAAAACAGTGGAATATTTACCACGTTAAAGAACCCCTGAGGTTAAACACATTCCTTTAGAGTCAGTAGTTTACATGGGCTAGTGTATGTTTCTGTGCTGTACTGACACCTCAGATACTTTTTTTTTTCAAAAGAACATAGAGTGAAGAAACAGGAAGTTTCCATGATAACATTTTCATGGTACAATGTCAGCCACATTTGCAGCTATTTATTGAATTATTGGCTCATTGGAGAAAGAAAAAGGAGACCGGATGATTTCATGTGATAGCAACTGGTAAAAAAAATACTTCCCTTGAGCAAAGAAGTTAAACAGTGTTTTAAAGTTTGTGACTTTGAATTGCAGTTAATAACTGTTTACAGTTTTAGTATTTTTTTTGCTTGCATTTCTGATGTTCAAGTATATTTTAATCTTACAGCTTTCTGCACTGGCTCCTCTCGACATCTACCTGGTGAATATCTGATCCGAAATCACATGGTGTTTCATTATAACAAAATTAATTCAGCCAAAGGTAAAAATGTGTATGTATGAGTGAAGTGTCTCCCCCTAAATTTGGCTCATACCAAGAAGGAATTAACTGGATTGTAGGAAGTTTACTATTCTTCCTGTTTCTTAACCAAACGTGTGTCAGCAAGACGTGACTGCTACTTAATAATACTTTTGTATTTTACTAATTTGTTATTGAGATGAGAAGTTTTGTATGAAAACATTTTCCTTAAATTACCAAAGATCCTACCTTAATTTTAGAGCACTTTGTGCTGTATTGGCTTCATTCTGCTTTTGAAGAATTATGAAATAATATGCTGAACTGAAAGTCATAGTCGTATGACTGTGTGTGATAGTCGTAACAGCAAACATACAGAAATTATTGTAGGAACGAAGGCAGAACATTTCTAGTTAAACTTAGATCATGATGTCTTTTTTTTTATTTTTATTTCAAAAACTTCATAATCTTTTGTTCATCTTGCAGTGAATAGTAGTAGTGAGTTCTAAGGTCCATGAAAATTGCCCTGTATGTTTGCAAATGAGAAAATCATGTTACTGACAAATACAATACTCACAATGTTATCTCATGTAACTTACTCAGTATCCTCAGATATGCAGGTAAATGCTATCGGAACAAAATGTACAGAAATCTTTTGAAAGGAGTCTTCATTTAAGTAATGATTCTTCCTTTAAATATATTTTACCCAGACAGCTTTATCACTCAGATGCTGTGACCATACTAATATGAACGTAATACTTTAAGTACACAGTACCTAGTATGTTTTGAAGTAGAGAAGAATTAAATTAGTCTTTGTTCTGTGTTGGTTTGTTACCACATTTTTCTAGCTATCACATATACTAAGTAAATATTGAATTACTCATATTTGGTGTTTTTCTTATTTTCAGCAGCTGTAGACTCTTCAATGCCCAAAAGTAGGTTATCCAGCATCAAACGTAAGTATTTGTTATATGTTGATTCTCAAGTGCTTCTGTAAAACTAACTCGGCAAAAGAGCCAGCAAAGAGTAACAATAGCATATAACCCCTTAATTGAGAACTTTGCTTGTTCATTCAGCTTTCACATCCTTCTTCAGCTACTTGTAGATGCATTCAATCTTCGTTGCATGGAATGCTGGAGAGGTGGATCTGTCAGTGATTAGTTACACTTAGCATGACAATTCATTTGTCAATGGCAGAAGTCTCTCAACTGCAAGAGACTGGATAATCTTAAGTATCTGGTACAAATGCATAGACAAAAATCCTGGACCTTTCTTAATAAAAACCTTTGAGGATTTCTCTCAATGAATGTGTGCATGTAAGTGATATTTTTTTCTGACCTGCTTTCCTTTATATGCTGTTCCATCTGACCAAGATTCCTTTACAAACAGATAAGAAACTGCCGTTTAGGCTGAAAGTTTTGCAGTTATCAAAGAGGTAAATTCCATGGGAAACACCTGCTTTCAAATTCGTCATTATTGGTCCCACTGCCTTCAAGGAATTTAAAGTTAAGACTACCCGTGCATCTTGTTCAGTTTCTGCACTATCCTTATAAATTCTTGATTTTTAGAATGAAAGTAAAAATTATTTCAATTTTATTTCATACCTAAAATTAGAGTGATTGCATTTTTTTCCTGCAATTCTATGCATTGTTCATCAAGAAATACAGATTTCTGCACTGTAATAACCATGCAACCAAGTGTGACATGTTCAGGTGTTAAGTGCAAGGTACCATTTGTAGAGTCTCTGGTAAACCACTGGAGAACCATTTTTCTTCCTCTGTCGTTTTCTGAAACAAATTATGTGGAGATGACAGCCAGTAGCTCAGACAGTGAGAATGTTGAAAATGTGCTGAGGAAGAAAAATAATGGAAAAGGGGTTTTAGAATACTTTCAAAATAATTTCTTCTTTCTTGCTCAAGATGAGACACATGATTTATCATGGCACAATTTTAACTTCAATATAGTTGAATATCAGCAGTATCCCTATAATGTCACTGAGGATGAGGGGTTTGCACCTTTATTCTCACAGTAGTTCTCTGCCTGTCATTGCCTCAACTAAAGCATATTATTATTTTTTATCTTTGTGTTCTTTGTCTTACTAGTTATTGCATTCCAAATAAAGTTTGTGTTCCCCCTCTGTTTTGAGATTTGGGCAGGGGGGTAAATTTAGTTTAAAATGATATGATTTATTAATAGCATAGAATTACAAAACAGAATTCTTGCAGATAGTGTTAAAAACATCAGAAACTGTGCTTCATGTACTGCTAGAATAGCAGGTGAGTATTTCCCTTTGGGGTTGTTGCCATGAATCAGTCATTAGCGTTTAAGAATTAAACATGATACAGTAGTTGGCATTCTCCCTGGCCAACTGAATGTGTTCTGTCCTTAAAGTGGATTTAGTTTCCACTGTTCTTTTCCTGGTATCTTAGCTGGCAGCAAAGCAGGCAGGGTGCCATGCCCCTAGGCTAGCAGTGAGCATGTTCCTGTGTATTAGATCAGGCTTACTGACTTAAAATAGTTGTTAAAATGTGAAACTTCTTGAAATGTGAAACTTCTATGTTCAGAATTAGTCCAGGCATGTTGATTGATACCAGTGGCCATTAGAAGTCTGTGGTTGTGAAACTTGTGCCAGAAAACTTGACAAAGGCTGTGCCAAGTATGACAGCTGCTGCTACACATGCCTGGTTTCTAACAGTACTAACTTTTCTACCCATATGTTTAGAGGTTTTTCCACAAGGCATATTGATAGTACAGCTTGAACCCAGTGATTAGTGTGCTTAGGAATGCAGGTCTCTTTGATACTGGGACAGGGGGAGAAGAAGGAAAACAAATATTCTGAGAAGTTACCCACCATAGATCTATTTTAGGTGGAACTTGAATTGTTGGAAGGAGGGCAGTGAGAGATGGGGAAAGGCAACAATTCAGATTAATAGTAAATTGGTTTTCTACCCTTTCAAGGGGTTAAGTTCAAGCAAAAATGTTATGTAATTCTGTATGTAAACCTTATTTTTTCCCATGAACACATACATTATTATACATTATACATATAATATATATATTATATATTCATCTATACTTTGCATTATGACAAAGCAGAGATCTATAAAAAGCTGTCTTACATGTTTTGTTGTTGCTGCCATTTTACAGGAAGCTTTCACAAAATCACCGTATCTTTTTTTTTCTGTTACATCTTGTCCTTAAGTATGCTTTTCTGAAAATGAAAGTTACAAGCAACAAATATAAGCTCTTAAAATTCAAACACTCAGGTAATTCTAATGCCTGTGTTACGTCTTTGGAAAGGTGTTCTAATATTTTTATCAATTCTGAAATTTGGTGAGCGGGGAAACATCTTTATGAATCTGTACTTTTAACTGTAGTGATTTTACTTTTTTTCCCCCAGAAGTTACTTACTGTAAGGTTTCTTCTATAATAAAAGGTGTTGGGTTTTTTTATGAGAGGTAATTAATTTTAGATTAGCACATCAAAAACACCTTTTTCACAACTTGTAGATGTGAAAAGACTTTAGATCATGTAGTCTGACACCATGAGTCAAGCAGACCAAAAGTTCTATCCAGTGGAACTTAACAGTCGTATTGAATGTGGTAAATAAAGCACATAAACAAGAAAAGCCTGCAGTCTTGTCTTGTAAAGGTCAAGAAATAGAGAAAACATAATTCCCTTTCGTAGATGTTTCAGTAGTTATTTGTCATTATAATTGAAAATGTGTCCCTGAGTTTTAATCTAACATACCCAGTTTTACTCTCTGTCAGCTGGTGGGCAGAACTATTGTTTTTATACAGTTGTCCACCATTACTCAGGATTACAAAATAGCCATAGGATACCAGAGAACAAGAATAAAAATTATGCATTCTACTTATTTTCAGCGTTATCTCAGTACAGTGTGTAAATTGTCCTTGGGGGCTGCCCCAGTGGTAACTTGAAAAAAAAAAATCATGGTCAAGGGCCACCTAGAATCCCAATGGACCTCTCTATAGGGTGCAAAAATAGATGTTTACCTGGGCAGGCTTAAATGTTTCCTTTAGGGTTGTTGCAGCATTCCACAGGTTCTGTGCAGTCACTGTTGGCAGGCTGCTGTGTTCTTGTTGTAGCTGACAGAAATATATAGGACATGTTTGCTGGACGAGGACCCCATATGAGCATCAGAGGTGGATGGATTTGGGGAATCCAGTGCTTCTAGCTTCTTCTGAAATGCCTTTGAAGGATTTATATCTCATTGTTAGGCTTTATTTCCACGTCTTAGCAATCACCAAATTTTGCCATTAGTAACTTTGCCAAGTAGCATCAGATTTCTGAAGTACCCTCATATAATTGTTACTTTGTATTTGATACAAGCAAAGCTTTATTATCCAGCCCTTAATAAATACTTTGTCATCCTTTTTCATGGTGATTCCTTCCTTATTTGATGAAACAGTACCACTGATACCGGATGTGAAGAAGGACTGCAAAATCACCTCAGAGTTAAAAAAAGTTAAATTTCTGTTAAGGAATTTAGATTTAGACTTTAAGAAACCTGAACTTCAGAGTTAATGGCAAAATTCAGTTTTCATTTGATGAGCTCTCACCCCAGGTGCTTAAATCATGGTGTACTGGAAATTTATGTAGAGTTAGGAAACTGATAGTAAAAATTTTTAGAGAAGGAAGAGCTTGCTTGCAGAAATAATATTGCTGACTGATATTCTGGACAGTCACTAGGCTCAGTGAATTCGAGCTCAGCTGAGACGATGTTTGTATGATTTATCTAAAAAGAATTCAAAAGGGAAATAATAACCCCAAGTGTATTATTGCAAAAATAGCATATATAAAAACACAGCGGAGAAATTCAGAGTGTTGGATAATTCCTTTAAGATACATTGTTCTGCAAGCTGAACTCAATTTAAATCTAACATTCTATTTCATTTTCTGCCATCGATTATTTACATCAAAAATGAAATAACTTGAAGTTTAACTGCCAACTGTTTTGTGATGTGACATGTGATAAATTTAGCAGTTGGAAATTCAGAGCAAAGGACAACCAACCGCTGGCATTCCAGATCATACTGTCCTTCTAAGTGCAGAGCTTTCAAGCTGACTAGGACTGTGAAATATATGATTAGTTTGTTTCTTCCGGATTTAAGACATTTGTTTTATAACTCGAAGCATATCTTGAAATGCTGTTGCAGTCTAGACTTACAGAAAAAATAATTAGCCTATAGAGGGAGTATTCTAAAAGGGAAATAAAGTGGTGTGATCACTGTTGAAGTGTGGTGTACTCTGCAAAGAGTATTTGCCTAAGCAGAAGTTTCAGATTGATCAGTGTTTTATAGGTATCTCTTTATGAGGAGTGCTACAGTTTAACATTGAAAATTCATAGTCTTTCTTGTGCTCCCTTTTGCTGACAATAAAATTAAGAGAATGGATTCATGGAGCGGATGCAGTAAGTTATGGAATCTGTGTTCACAGACTGAATTTATATGATCTACAGAATCACTAAATAGTTTATATTCTAGTACATTTCCTCTTACTATACTATGAGTCTGTGGGGTTTTGAGCACAGTACTTAATGAGATACAATTAATCTCTAAAACTCTAATAAGACTTTTAAAGGGACTCATTTGTATCTATAGACTGTATTATTTTATTTTGCTTCCCCCTTCTAAAAAGATGAAAAGTAACCCAGTGGGGTTTTTTTTTTCATTTATTTGTCACAAGATCCTTACTATTATGTACTTTTCCCATATTTAACTCTACATATTCTACATGTTCCTGGAGCCAATGTTCAAATAAAAGCTACTTGCAGTGAAACTGTTCTAAGTATCTCCTAACAAATGCAGTTTATGTTTACTTCCCATTATCTACAGCAGTATGCCAAGGGCACTTCTTTCAAATTTAGTTTACGAACCTCACTGAAAGCTAAAGAGGCTTTTTATCTGTAATGGATTTGAAGCAGAAGATACCTTAAACTGTGAGCAATGCTTTTAATTAAAAGCTAAATCTGCCTTCTGAAGTTGGATGTCTCTTGAATGCTGGTCTCTTTGTGTTTAATATATTCACACTGCAACACAAGTGGTTATGTATGAAGTATCTCCAGCTTCTCTCAGTTGTAATACTGTAATTAGTGCCTCAAAGTTCCAGGCAATTTTTCTATCTGGCTGAAGGCAAAGCATAGGACTGGATTCTCCAGTCCTTGCATAGATAAAGGGCAGCTAAGGAGAGGTAGGGTAGCATACCTGTTTCTGCATTTGCCTGTGCTACTTGCTGACTGCCTCAGAGCCGTCCTAACTTACCTCCAGCTGTCTGTTTACATCTACATTAACTCTTTTAAAGGAGGATTTCTCTATCTCTTACTTTGCTGGTTTCAAAATTCCTAGCTTTTACCACAGATCTAAACTAAAAATTCCTAAATTGGCAATAAGATGTGTATATTACTGGAGTTTTCTGACATTCTGTTTTGCGTGTCTGTGCTGCCTTTCACTACACACGAGTGACATTATGGCTTTTGGAGCACACTTAATGGATTAGCTGAGCTAAGCTCTCTGTATGACAGGTGCAAGGCAAAGACTCCACATTTCCCATGGTGGTGGTAGTCCCAGTGCATCGTTCTGATATCCCAAGATAGCCTTAGCTGGAATACTGTTCTTTCCTTCTTTATTTTTGGGCAGAAACCATGCTTTGGGTGAAAAGTCCTGGAGGAGGTTTTTTTAACAGCGTTTTTAACTATGCCAGTAGTAAAGGCATTCGTGTATGTCAAATTTCAGGGTTTTTATTTTAAAGAGCAGAATAAAGACAATATGGAAATTCTGTTTTGCAGTAATATTCCCACTGCTTTTCACTTTGCCCAGACACTCCTGTTAAGCCATGGTGTGCAGGTGGAGCATGCAGTAAAATGTTAAACCTTGTCTTAGGCAGACCCACTTTTCACCTAAGCACTTGAGTGTAAGGAATTTGCTAATTCAGACACCTACTTCTTACCCATACTTCTGTATGATTTGCACTTTTGCTTTGTAGGGCTTTCTTTCACCCCTTGTTTCTCTACATATTTGTTCAATCAGCCATCACCATTTTACCTGAGCAGTAGGCAAGATGTGAGTTTTTATAGCCTCCCTGCTCTACACAGACATTGGCTTTATTGGCCCAGAATAAGTAATTATTTCTCTCAAACATATAAAATGTCTACCCTGTAGCTAATCTTTGAGTGCTTCTCACTTAAAAGTCTTAACTTTTAAGACAAACACAATTAGAATTAGAAATAGTAGCAATTCTGTACAGACACAATAACTCATTATAGAAAGAAAAACATTCAGATTTAATTATTTAATGGTACAGTATATTTTATTCTGTTACAATGTGTATTTTTTATTCAGGGTTGTATAATGTAGCATTTGTATCTTCAGCTAATATTTTCCCAGTAATTTAAGTCTCATATTGGAAGTACTCTAATAACATATGGATAAATGGATAACGTGGATAAATCAGCAGCCATAAAAGAAATTACTCTGTATTTTACATATCAATTAAGAATTAAGTCTTACATATCAAGTAAGAATTAAAAGAAAGAGAAAGTGGGATTTTCCTGAGCAATGAGAGCAAAGATTTCACATCTGAAAGATTAAATGTTATCTTAAAAGGGGACTAAAATGTTTAATGCAATGAATACACTTACTTAGGTATTTCCTGGAGATTAACATGTATGTAGGGTACATGTACACAGATGAATGCATTTTAACGGTTGATCAAACATCCTCAGATTGCTGTAAGTCTCAGCTGTGTAGAAGAATGTACCACACCAGCCCCTGAAGTTTTTTGCATTTCCATGCATTAAATATAGTAGTGCATGTGCAGATTGGGGTCTCCCAGAGTATGATATAAATATATTATGAAACCAGAGAAGAAATCCTCAAAGGCCTTTATGTATCTCTATCAAACAAATGATTCATACACTTGGATATGTGTTAAGTGAATGAGAAAATTTTCATTTAGTATACAGACTTCAAAAACCTGTTTATTTTTTTCCCTATTTGGAAATGAAATTATTAATTTTTTAATCGGCCTCATTTTGATTTTACAACTTTGTGAACTTTGATTATTGTGTCCAGTTCTGGGCCCCTCACTTTGAGGAAGACATTGAGGTGCTGGAGTGTATTCAGACACGAGCAACAAGGCTGGTGAGGGCTCTGGAGCACACGTCCTGTGAGGAGTGTCTGAGGGAGCTGGGGTTATTTAGCCTGGAGAAAAGGAGGCTCAGGGGAAACCTTATCCCTCTGTACAACTGCCTGAAAGGAGGCTGTAGCCAGGTGACAGTCAGCCTCTTCTGCCAGGCAGCCAGCGACAGGACAAGAGGACACAGGGCAGGTTTAGGTTTGACATCAGGAAGAATTTCTTCATGGAAAGAGTTGTCAAGCTTAGGAATGGCCTGCCCAGGAAGGTGGTGGAGTCACCACCTCTGGAAGTGTTTAAGAAGCAACTCGATGTGGTACTTGGTGCTGTGATTTAGTTGGTGAGGTAGTGTTTGGTCAAAGGTTGGACTCGTTCTTGGAGGTTTTTTCTAACCTAAATGATTTTGTGTTTCATTTGTGAAACCTGGCTGTTCCCAATATGCAAAAACACTGGACTGTATTATGTAAGATTTAGGCAGCTGATGGCAAACTCTTACACAGAAAATTTACCCATCTTTTGGGTTTCTTTTTCTGATGACATAGATACCTGACTCAGCTTTTCACACTGCAGATGAGGTCTTGGACTGCAGACCAGCGTGGATTGACAAAAATCCCTTGCCTCTGATCTGACAGTAGTCTTCTCAGAGCTGGCCTTCGTTTTTTTTTTTGTTCTTGACAAAAAACTTGCTTGTTCTGCTCTGGATTTCTGTATTTAGGAAACTCCATATTGTAAGCATGGATTTTTTTACATACCAGATTTGCTAACAATAAGCACAGGATATTTTCTGAAATACTGGATAAGAGTACAGTCAAAGGAGTTATAGCTTTGAAAAACTTAGTAACTTTTTGAGCAAAATACTCTGTTAGCAACACTGATCTTGGAAGACGTATGTTGGTGTTTGTTGTGAGATAAGAAAATTTCAGGAAAGTTAAGGCACAGCTTCAGCTACCAACATACTCTATTAAGAATTTTTTTTCTGAGAGTTGACATAAATTTTATAACTGCTGTGTGTTGGAAGTGGAATGTCTCTCAATAGTCTGACTTTACTGAGCAATTGGAAACCACTACAGTGTTTTCAAACACTTAGGGAAACAAAGAATATTTTAGTTTGGATCTGACCAATTTTGTCTCTTCCCTAAGTTGCTGACCAGCAAAATAGAGAGAAACTGAAAAAGAAGACAGGCAGGAGTGAAGAGAAGATGAATGTGTGTGAAGCTGTCTCTCAGTGCTGTTCAAGAGACGGCAGAAGGCTGCCTCCATCCTCTAAAAAGGTATGTATTGTAATTCTGTTTAGTAGATACTATTATATACTTGCCTCCCATAGTAACAGCTGATCACTGCTGTGCAGTGAGGGTTGGCATCTTTCAAGCAACAGAAAGTAGACAAGTGTCTTCCTGGCATGTGCCCAACACTGAATGCATGTCTTGACCTTCTGACAAAGATGTCAGGTATCTGGATAAAGAGTGCTTGCAGTAAATGCAAGCTTTAATTACCCCTGAATTCTCTTGCTTTCAGTTCAGCTGAAACTCCTGTCCTCTGTCACTCCAGAGCTTTGTACCATTTCCTAAGGCAGAACTCTGTTACCTCTACCCTTCCAAGCAGAAGAATCAGGAATCTTCCATTTTTTTTTTAATGAAAAGTCCTAGTTGATAATACATTTTGTATCTAACAGTGTACTAAATCATTCAGTTGCATTTCTTGAAAGCAGAAGTAGTGCTTAAACCAAAACATACCATTCTGTATGTATATATTCTGCTTATATGCATAGGCTCACTTAGTTTGGCTGGCATTTCGTCAAGATACGTGGTGTGTATTTCTAACTAACAAATAAATATGTAAATAGCCCAATAAATTACATTCTTGTTCATTGCTGTAAATGAGCAATTGCAGCTTAAAACAGAATAATGATTTAACTCTTTGATTCTAACAGCATAAGCTTCATACATTGTTTAAATGTTTGTAAAGCTAGAGGACATTTCCAAGTAGTACAGCAAACACTGTTTCTTTCTGTGACTGATTTTTGTTGCAGGCAGCCTGACTGTGACCTTATTGCAGTGCAGAGAAATAATGCTTTGAAATTCAATACATGACTCTTAGTTATAGATGAAAGCACAGGCATGAATAAGAAAAGGGAGGAAATGTGATATTTAAAATATAAATTTTATTTCTTCTTAATACCATTTTTGTCCTTACATGCTATTTTTTGCAAACTTGGGGCAGGCAAAGTTCCTTAAATTGTTTCATTGCAAAACCAAGAAACATGTGTCTCTAATTACTGCACGAACTCCCAGCTTTAAAATAAAAGGATGCACTATAACTAAATGCGGCTTCTTTCCTTTGATTTTCAAAATAAGATTTCCTGAAATTCCACCTGAGTTAACTGCCCATGAATAAGATCTCTGATTGGAACAACACTTGGTATTTCGTATCTCGTGTTCAAGTAATCCTATTAATAGGCATTTCTGGCTGCTAATGAATTTTTAAAAATAAATTAGTCCATGCCAAAAGTCAGTTGAAGGAAGGCTGCTTCATAGGAGGTTAAATTTTTCTTTTTTAACCGTTTGAAGTATGCCATTGCCTTGACATTTCAAGATCTCTTTCAGCCTGTTTTTTGAGATTTTTTTTTTCTCTGAAGAATGAAAGTTGTGGCCATCTGCTTGTACATATGAAATATAGATTGGGAAACACCATTAACTAGTTCTAGTCTCATGTTAATTTTGTATGCAACACGTGTGGCTGTGTGAAATGCCTACTCAAATGCTTTATATTTAAAGATTTATTATACTCATGATACCAGCAGTCTGAACATGTACTGTGCTTAAATTAGTTCTGTCATAATGGGAGATGTCAGTGATTAAACAAAACAGAAGAACCTTCTGAGCATCAAAGAAAGTTTGTTTTCATTAGGAATGTTCAGATTTCCTTTCAAGCTTCATAGTGACAATTACCTCTTGTGCTGGTTGTTTGAATTAATGCACACTCAGTAATACCCCTTCCTAAAAACATCACAGTATTTGATAAAAGTAGGAACCTAGCACATTACAGAATTGATACCCACACACACACATGCACAAAATGAAAGAGTGTACCAGGAACATAGTTTTGAAAAATAGTGACACCAGGACACAAAATGAATATATTCATAGAAGGTGCAATTTGTTCACATATTTGTATGAATTTTCTCTAAAGGCTGGTTGTCACTTCCTACAGTAAACCTTTGCTGTGTCCAGAAAACAAAGAGCAGGGGCTCAGCTGACTTACAGCAATATTTAAATGGCTCTCTCAAGTTAAAATAATCATACACTCATTTATTGCAAATTTGCAGCTTCTGTGTCCTGACAGTGCAGTTCATAAAGCATCTCTTCAATCTCATTTTATGACGGTAGATGAACTCTTCTATTAGAAGACCTTTTCATACAAGGACAAGTTAATTTCAAGATTAAATTAATCTTACTGTAATTTCCTTGACTCCAGTGAGAGCTGCCTTGCACCTTTTACCTGAAAAAGTATTTAGCAGCCTTTCTTTTCAGAGTTTGGTGTTTATAAGGCAGCTGATACTTTAGTGGCTTTTGAGCTGGGAAACTAAACTTCTTGTAGAAAGTAACGTAGAGAGAAATCTGGGTTTTTTCTCTGTGTTACTGCTTTTGCCTCTCAGATGACAGTAATATGCTTCAATCCCTTTTTACTGAATTTTCTCTTCCACAGAGTCTATGAAAATTCAGAGGTCTCTACATGCTTGCTGCAAAGTACTGTTCAGTTTACCCCAGTTTTGTGACTAATAAAATTGAAGCATAAATACATACTTTATGAAATTCTTAAGGAGTTGCTGAAATGTATCATTGAGTAGATTTGTTATCTTTAAAATCGGTTTATACTTGGTTGAATCAACAGAATAGAAACATATATTGATAAGCAAGATACAAGTCAAGATTTTTTTACTCCAAATTATCTTAGTTCTTGATAGCTCTAATAGCTAAAGCTCAGATACTATAATGAATTTTTAAAAAAAATTATTTGAAGAATAGAACTAAACATATTTTAATAAGTGTGCCGTTTGTAGGCATGGTTTTTGTCTTTTTTTTTGTTTCCTACTTAAACATCTAATGTTTTTATAGAAAACAGACTAGAGCAGAAAGTGAGTGTCTTCATTTTGATTTGCCAGTTACTCGCTTACAGTTTACTTGCAACACAGGACAATTTTCTGAAAGTTCAAAAAAGACAAATTGCAGACAAGCACCATTCTCTGACACTCCTTAAAATCTTCAGAAGTGACACAGTTCCTTGTTCATGATATTGTTTCTTTGTCTGCTTGGAGTGTACATCTCCCTATTTGAATAGCAAAGTTTTGCCTCAAGATAAGGGCTTTGAAAGACATTATTTTCTCAGTATTTGAATGAGTACATCTCACAGCTGACACAGATGCAGCTTTGGGTTACAGTTCTCTCTAATCATTAGCGAGGTACTTGGTCTGTTCTGCTTATGAAATATTTGAGGAGAAGACAATAACTACCCTAAGCTTCCTCCTGTATAAGGAGTGCTTAAGTTTAGGATACTGCCATGTCAACCTTGTGCCTTTGTCTTGTTGTGGATCAACTCAACTGCTTCTGAGGAGCAGAGCATGTTGTTTTCATGAGGTGTAAATAAATAATTGGCTTATATAACTTCATATTGTTTCTTAATAATTATTTTGCATGATGCAGGGAACCAGTCCTCGTATGCTCACAAATGCTTCTACAATCCAATTTATATTTCAGCTCAATGAACTGAGTCACTGCAAGTAAAGCATTTTCAAGAATTAAGCTGTTTATAATATACACTGAAGGGTATGGAGTTAGCTTTTATCTATATAGGTGGATGCTGAAACTTTCTAGTCTTATCTGCTTTCTATAGTGCTGAGCTACCATTGCAACTACTTTATATGCAAACAATCACACTGGTAAGCCTCATTATTCTGCTTGCTAACACAGGCATTTGTTTGGCATTGTAACTGCATGTTATCTGTTCAGCATTTAATTATGCTGTAGTAGTAAAATACAGTTGATTCACATGAGACACCATCAAGAAGAGCTTATTTTGCCTCAGCTAACTAAAAAAATCCTCTTTGCATTAGGCACCAGCAACTCTCGATATTTTGGGGTACTGGAATAGTTTAGATAGGTCTTACTGATGTGAGAAAAAATTGTTGTGAAGGAAGTATATCGTATGACAGCAGTATGATCTGTGACTTAATTTTCATGATAAAATATCTGCATTTTTAATATTCCTCTAAATAGTAGTTATTGCAGGCTACAAAATAGGTATTCATCATAATTGAGCTTTAATTTAAAATACTGTGTTTGAAAGGAAAAAGAATGAGATAGTGTAGATTCTAAGCAATAATGGTAGCAGTGTTATGAGAAAATGGAGCATTTATACTGTAAGAGTCTATTGCTTAAAATTTTTAAAAACACCTTTTTTAGGGTTGAATGATAAAATAGAAAATTGTGTATGTTTACAAGCTGTACTACCAATTATATAGGTTAATATGCTACACTATATCTTACTGGTTTGCTAGTAATACATTACTATCTTATACCATCTATTTGTGGGTTAGAATGTCATGAATTTTCAATAAATGTAGAAAGATTTCCAGTTTTGGTCATTGGGGTTTTTTTTTCTCTCCGTGCCCACACCAGTAGGAGACTTCAGAAGTTTCAGGACAAGTATCGATTATCTTCCAGAATCCCCACAGGCATTTTCTTTTTCAGTTGTTTTTGTGACTTTTGTTGGCATTCAGTCCATTGTCACTTCCTGAGTGGGGAAAATCACACATCCAGCCATCAATCCACATCTTAATCAGCTGATTATTTTCAAAAAGTGAAGTGTTCTTGAGGATTGTCTCGAGGTTTATATTGTGCTCAGGCAGTGAAGGCCCATTGGAAATGCACTGGATCTGTGTTTCAGTGTTACTCCCTGGAAGTAGTTTCCACATAGCTTAATTATGAGATCAGGATAGGCTACTTGGTGAATCTGTGAATCTTCTCAGCTGGCATTATGGTTGTATGTCATAAATAAATGCATGTCACAGCATATGTATAAGTCATACCATACTGCATCCACTCTTTCTCAGGCTTCCCAAAGGGCACATGTTCCTTCAGTAACTTCACTAATGTAATGCTTCTGCTTAATAGTTTTTATTTTTTTGATAGGCATATAATAGAGATGAATGAAACACCTACGGAAATCATCTTCCTTTTCTTCCTTTTGTCACTGCAGAGCTTATGGTCTGTACTGGTGTCTGCTTATCTTCCTGTTCTTTGTTCAGGTAGTGGAGGCACATGGACAAGTTAATTTTTGTGTAAGCCTATCTGAACTAAACTTCAAGTTTGTGTAAAACCTCAAAAGGCCTTAGAAAATGAATTTTCTTCTTAGGAAACATCTTTACTTGTATACATTCTCTTAAAACCTTACAGCACTTTGTTGCTGATGATGTGGACCTATATGAACTGCCCTAGTGTTAGGAAAGTATGGTAATAATTTTAGAAAGTTAGCTCTTGGTTTTGAATTGGGTTTTCTCAGTTATTATAATTCAGCTGTTATTTTGCCTTGCTGATTGCATGGTACAGTATTGAGATTTTCCAGAATAACACTATCCTCAGCTTGTCTCCCTCACTGTTGCACTGTAAGCACTGCCTCTGGGAGTTGTGGTGCTAGATAGTTTGAGTACACACAGTGGGAGTCATCTCTTCTGCATCATACAGTTGTGTGTAACAGAACTTGAATTTCGTAGTTATATATGTGGATGCAATAAATTGGTTTATACAAATTTTGTTTGGTGATAGGCTTCTGGTTTAATCTTCCAGTTATGCAGTATGCCTGCTTATAGAGATTGTAAAATGTCATACATAATTTTCACTGATTGACAGAATATTTGGTGGGTGGCTGTATCCTAGGTATGAAAAGAACATACAACAGCTGTTTTTATGAGGTATTTCAGACACATTGTAAAGCAAATGTATGAGTGTGCATACCCTGGGTATTTATGTTTTGATATTGCAAATTTTTAAAAACTCTCTCTATGACTGAAATTAAATTTCTATTTAATTGTTCTTTCTAATTTAACAAAACAAATTAACAAATGACCAAACCAACCAAAAACTCCACCTTAAAATGTTATTTGAATTAATTGTGTTTCTGTTTTATTTGTCTGCTGCAGTGTCATAATACAATTCAGGAATAATCTTGAATTTTTAAGCATGGGATAATTATGGATGATGTCCACCTTATCTTGCCCAGGTGGTATGAACAGAGTATATCCAGATGAAATAATTTACCTCAGTGCAGTGATTTCTTGACTTATTAAACTCTTGGTTTGATATAGCTACCAGTATAACAGAGCACCAGTGTTTTGCTACTGAAGCAGACCATTTGCTTATTACTCTCTTATTTCCAGTGCGTAGGTTTTAAAATCTGTTAGCACTGAGGCTGCTGTGAAACCAGTTTGATTTTACAAAAAATTGAAAGTTTTACATAGAGAATACCTCCAAGGTGGTAACAGTAATAGCTGGGAGTACCATCATAGGAAAAGCAGGTAACTTGCAAAGCAATCAAATGTTGTTTTATTTTTTTCTAGCATTTCATGGAAGTACAAGACGGTCTCTTCCCCTGTTCTCAGCACGCACACTTCCTATCAAGAGCACCATGTGCTTATGGCAAGCATTGCTTGGTTCACTCCTGTCCAGTAAAATACACCAGGAAATGTTGTCGGCATCCATCCAGGCCATCCCACTCAATCTCAAGCACCTGTGTGTCAAGGCCAACAGTTAAACACACTGGACTTTCACGCAGTCGCTCCACCGAGAGTTTTGTGACTGTTGGTTGTTCCCAGAGGTGTCAGGGAAACAACCCCAAAGCGAGCTGCAAGGATCCTACTGAGACTTTTGTGACCGGTTGTTCCCAGAAGTGTCAAGGAAACAACCCCAAATCGAGCTGCTGTGGAGATCCCACTGAGAGTTTTACGACTGATTGTTCCCAGAGGTGTCAAGGAAGCAAACCCAAATCGAGCTGCTGTGGAGATCCCACTGAGAGTTTTACGACCAATTGTTCCCAGAGGTGTCAAGGAAGCAAACCCAAAGCGAGCTGCAGGGACAGTTTTGTGACCGGTTGTTCCCGGAGGTGTCGAGGAAACAACCCCAAATCGAGCTGTGGGGATCTTCTAGAGAGGCACTCAGAATGCTTTACTAAGAGCCAGCATCCTTTTACTCCTCGCACATTAGTATCCGATGCTAAGTCTTTCCTGTCACGGTACAGGTATTACACTCCTCCTCGAAGGAATAAGAGAAACCACCACAAGCAGCGTGTGGAAGCTGAGACACAGACTGATATGATCAGGTACAGAGATTAAAACTTTATTTTGAAATTCTGGGATTTAGATGTTATCATAACAGAATCTTCATAAAAGTAAGACGTTTTGCTCTCATTACATTTGTACAAAACCAGAATAATTATTCTGAGGTTGTTCTAGAGACGCTTTAGCAATAATTAGAACAGAATGTGATTTTCCTTTTTTCACTGGCATATTCTGCTGTCTTTTTTCTGGAACTGGTTTAATCTATTCAGATTGGATTTGAGGTGCCACTAAATTCAAACTGTGGAATCTCACATCTGGTGATAATCATTTTCTCTTTCTTCCCTATGCTCTCTGATGTATAGTTCTGTCTTGTAAAGAATTAACCAATATAAGCCCCTAAGTAGTTCCCCACTGTTGCCCCTGTAGTCTCATACGTTCCAGTCTGTTAATTAATATACAATGCAAACGTCCTTTTTAAACTCTTGAATGCAGCTCTTCATTGTTTTTTTATCACTTGAATTTAAATACCTTCAGATATACACTGTATAAAATATTTTAAACAAAATTAGTGTCCTTCTCTTGCACTGATCTTAGCAAATTGAACAGTTCTGATTTAGTTTTGTTTATACTGATACTACCTTGTAAAGAGAAATCTTTTCCTTCCATGCCTGCATGTCCAACTTCAGCTTTGTCATAGAATAAATCAGGGATTTCCTAAGACTGGAGTTACGATAGCTTTGGCTCTGTATTGCAACTGTTGATTTTCTGGCTGTGGGTCATCTATTTTCCTGGTGCACTTTTAATTTTAGGATCATCTCTATTCTTAATTCTGAACAATTATTTTGAATAATTTAGTTATCTCCTGCTAATATGCAGCTAAATAATTAATTTGGATCACCTGTCTGGCAGAAATTTTCTAAACTGTTCAGTACTACATTCTGTTCAGGCCAGTGAGACATTTTCACAGTGGCACTGGCATATTTTAAAAGTAGTCTACTTGGGAATCTAATACCTCTCTGTATTTTGTAGCTTTACATCTCCAGACAAAGTGTACAAGAGAAAAGTTATGGCTGAACAGCAGAAGATGGCATCAGAGGTAATAATGCATCCATCAGTCATGTGGGTACTCTTCCCACACCTGCCACCATCACTGTGGGGTAATACACTTCATCACTGCCACAGCAGTGAACAGCTGATTTAGGTGATGTTCTCTCTACTGGTGTACTCTTTACATGACATGAATTAGTTCCATAGAGCAGAGAGAATTTCAGAACATTGAGTGGAAACTATAAGAAAAAACACTGAGGCACACGAAGAGATCTCTTTAAATTTATTTTTTTTCATTGTTTCTATAAGTGCACTATCAAATATCTGCTAGGGTCATAGATAATTGGTACATGACTTTCCAGCAGAAGAAGGTAAACAGCCTTTTGTCTGTTTATCCAGAGTTTCTAAGAAAATATGTGGAATTTCTAGGGCTGCTTAATCACAAGGAGTTATTACATTCATTTTAATGGTAAAATTTGCTGTGTACTTGCACTGATAATAAAGATATTTATTTCTGTGTTGTAGGCTGAAGATAAAAGAGATACTTTGGATGAGCCTGAGAGAGGAATAGATGGGTATCAATGCTGCAATCTAAGGTGCCTGATTTACAGTAGAAAGGAATATTTGAAATGTTCCTTTCTGTACTGCTGGTCCTTAGGCCATAAGTCTTCACTAGCATTTCTCTTTATAAGTCTTTTTCTCACAGGACTTTTGTTGGGTTTTTTATATCAATGGCCTTTCCCAACTTCAAAATTCATTATGTTTTTTGTTATAAGTTCCACTGGGAAGCCAATTAAGAAAGAGAGCTCTGAAATATGAGTATTTTTGTCAGAATTGAGTGATGACACATTAATACAGTTGTTAGCTCTGTACATCTGAGCTCACAGACTATATAGTACTATAATTAAACACTATATTGCAGGAGCATTTCCCACATCTTTTTCTGAAAACTTAATACTGAGATTGCTACAATGCAAGAGCAATGTTGGAAATTAGGCCAGAACCCAAGGGCTCTGAGCTGATTCTCCTCATTGCTGACCTAAGTGTCATGTATGACTCGCTGATTTGCTCTCTGGCTTCTTCATACAAAGGCATTTTTATATGAGGAAAAAAAATGTATTCTGAGTTTTAAAAGCATTCTTATGGATAACAGAGATTGAATAACATCTGAAGTAGCAACGAGGTCTTGTAAGCACTGTATCAGGTGAGGTGGTGTAATACTCTTGAGCCATAGTCTTTCAGGTTTCAGTGGCAGCAGGAGATTTTGCTACCAGAGCAGGGTTTAAGGGTGTTATGGTGGGTTTTTTGGCAAAAGGAAATCATATAATGGCACTCAATGGCTCCAGAAGAACATTACATGCAAGGTAGTATAAAAGGAGTTTAGAATGTTCTTTTTCTTGCCCTCTGATTAGAAAGACATCAGGGTGTCCTCAGAAGTCTTCAACAAGGAGTACTGTCGATGCTGAGTAAGTATGCTTAAACCATTTTTCTGCTCATTTACAACATCAAACTAGAAAGTTTTCCTCGAAAGTGATGAACTTGAAACATACAATGCTTAAAAAATTTTATGTTAATCTAAAAATGAAGAAAATTCGTTGTAACTTCAGAAGATTATAGAGTGCCTGTAGTTTGTTTCCATTTTTTTTAGGTCTGTAATCTCTGAAGCAAATATTGGCAAATAAAATGCCAAATTGAAAGGCATTCTTACCACATTTCTGCACTGAAATTTGATGAAAGTTAGAAGAGTTTTGAGTTATATTCAGAAACACTACTAATGCTTCATCAAGTAGCCTTGGAAAAGTAATTTAATTCTTTGTGCTTTAGGCTTGTGTTTGCCTAACTTAAGGCTTATAATAGAGGTCTCAAACACCAGCTGTAGGTAACTTTCTTGACTACAGGGAAACCAAAAATTAAAATCTTTAGGCACAATAACAAATTTTATGTAATGAAAATCATGCAAGATGTATTCCATTTTTTATTTTCTGTTTATTAAGACTGGAGAATGACTCAGCAGAGGTTGATTGGATGCTTTGGGAGACGTAGAAGGATGCTATGAAAGAGAAAAAGCACTGAAATATTTTCTTCTGGGGTTTACTTTCCTGTTGTCTTTCAAGCAGAACTCCAGACTTTTGGAAAGTGTCTGATTTAGAGTAATTGGCATCAACAACTCTTTAGAGGTATTAAAATAGAGCTAAGAGGTGGAAGTCATGTGTAACACTAACAAGATTATGGACATCAAGGAGATATGCTGAAATGAGTGGATGCTGCCAAATATGCAGTTAAATCCTTGTCAGCTTCCATATAGGACCAACAGCTGCAGTCAGATTCTCTAGAAGCTCCTTTGGAAGCCTTTACCTAGAGTATCAAACTGCAATTGTGCACTTTCTTTCCAATTAGCTCCCCTTTCTTGAGTGCAGTGCAGGTTCTGAACACTTGCCAAGATTCTTTCACTGATTCCCTTGCTTGGGATCTCTGTGCTAATTTATACCACAACAGAAAGTTAGCATAAAGACAAAGCACCATGGCCACCTGTCCAAGAGTCTCACATTTTGCAGTTTTTTATTATAATCCAGATCGAAGGAAAGACTTAGTTTTTGTCATGATAGCTTTACCTTTTATGAAAAATAACTGGTGTTACAAGAACTATAAAATCTTCTTAATGGCCTTTCCTGTGAAGGTGATTAATCCTACTAAAATATGTCATTGTGTTTCTATGGTAATGCATTTAACATTGGGATTTCTATTCTCCCTGCAGAGAAGAGGAGCTTTTATATTTAACTTTCATTGAAGATATAACAAATGAAATTCTTAGACTTGGGTTATTTTCTAACAGGTAAGTTACAGTTGTTTTCGATTTTGTAATGCTATGTCAGAAACCCATGGACTCCATAAGTAAGGGAAGTAGAGATTAGTAATAATTTCTTTATACACACATATACACAGTTAGCTTGCTTTTGTTTCGTTTCCTCTTCTTTCTTGCTTTATGTAAGAAAGGGGAACTAGGAAATACCTTTGGGTCATTGACTTTGATCTGCTGCTATGTAACATGAGATAAAATCTTCTGTTAAAATCTGACTTGGAGCCCTAGGTGGAATAATACTAAGAACTCATTTAGTCTGCAACATCTGTTTTGCGAAATAAACCAAGTTACTAATCTTTTACACAGCAGGTCTTTTGTCCCCCTTCTGTCCTTCTTCCTGTTCCAGTATGAATTCAGTCTTCAACATGGGTTGCAAGGGTTACAGTCTCTTTCAGATAAAAGTTCACCAGCTGGTCAATCAAATTTTTTTTCAATATGATACTGGTTCATTCTAAGAAAGAACTCTCAATTTATGCATAAAAACATTGCAGTATTTCTGTACATACACAGAATATATATACAGAATCTTAACACTTTTTTGAAATTCTGCATTCAGGGCAGTCTCATTTCATAATATTCTGATCTTGCTCTAAGTTGGTAATGTTCCCAGCTGTTTTTCCTATTCTATGCATCCTTACTTTTTTTTCTTCTTATGTCAAGGCTATCAATGAGAATACTAAATGCACTAAGTAAAAAAATTATTCTTCAAGAAATTTTTTGCAGCAGTCTCCTTCTGGCTCTTTTACAGTAATGTTTTTTTCCATTAGAACCCTTCTTGCACTTTTTAAAAAAGTAATTTTGTAAGTAAGCTAGGTTAAATTCACTTGACTTTCTGGAATTCTGTTCCAGTGACTGTGTACATTAGTTGTCACAGAACACTTTCTTTACAGATTTTTTTTTTCTCATTCAGCCTAAGAAATGGAAGAGAGCTCTCAAGACTGAGGTCTCTCTGGATTTTTTTACTGAAGCTGAATTTTATTCCTTCTCTTTATTTATTCTTGCATATAGCAGCCACTATGGTGCATCCAAGAGATTTTGGATACTTCAGCATTCCAGTAGAATCACGACTGGATTGTTGATTTCTCCCAGCACATAGGCCCAACAGATCAAGCATGCACATAGTTGTGCTACAAGTCACCCCACGATTGCCATGTGCTGCCCAAAGCCAGCTCTGCCTGCTGAGCATGTGTCCAGTGAGTTCCTGATTACAGGTGACATTGGAACAGTCTTAGAGGTGCCATTCAGCTAAGAAATGGAAATAAAAACCATAACTACAGTTATTAGGTTGCAAACATCTTATAAAAGTTTGTGAAATAATCCGATTTTTTTATTTGTAGGGTTCTAGATCAGCTGTTTGAGAGCTATATAGAAGCAAATAAGAACCGCCTTGATGAGGTATGTGCTGCCCTTTATCATAGACTCTGCACATGATTTAGGTGATGTTTCCAAATAGCAGGGCAAATGCATTGGTGTGTTTGAGGGTCACTCATGGATTATGACAGATCAGGAGTCACAGGTACAGTGGCAAAGAATAGACGACAGTCAGTTCAGTTTGGTGACACTCAGTGCTTAATTTAGTCACTTGATTGCAAACAGCCTCCCTTTCCTCCTGTCAGACTTTAGCCCCGAGTCTGAGCAGTGCTCAGGTGCCATGGGGCTGGAGAAGTGTCACGCTCTTCTTCCTTTACCCCTTAGGGCAAAATGCGCCGGATGTTGGACGTGCTGAAATCAGACCTGGGCTGTGGCCAGGACAGCGAGACAGAGCTAATCCATGCAGACCAGGAAGCCTTAGACCCACAGGAGTTTGATAAGACAGAAGAGCTCGAGTTTACCAGTAAAGGTCACAGGCTGAGGAAAGCTACAAAAAATGAAGAATCCCTTGAGACCATGGACCTTTCTCTAAAGGAACCAAGCAAATATGAATCACTGTCATGGACTGAAAGGTCAAGGGAGACACACAGCAGGGAGGAGTCTTCAGAAGATACCTCAGAAACTGTGGATGCTGGGACAGAGTGTGATTTCTGTGGTGTGGAATTTGAAGAACACCCAGACACTCCACGCACCTGTGAGGCAGATTTAAACTTGATTTCTTGTGACTATGATTTGGGCATCAGTAAGGAACTTGATGAACTTGAGGAAAAATTTGCAGACACCTTTCACATGTCACGTAACTATTCATAACAGTAACCAAAACTTACCTCTTAGACAGGGATAGAGCTCCTTCTGAGGTGAGCTGCCATTTGTCAACCAGTAGAAAATTGTTGTTATTTCTCTTGAAATACTGCTAAGATCTCTCTAGCAGGATACTGTTAATTTGGCATTAATCTCTTGTGTATTAAACCTTAAAGGATAAGGTGTCAGTTATCAGAATAATTTTGTATATTTTGCCTATAATTGTGTAACTCGAAACAAACTTGAGAATATTAAAATTAGATTTCTATTTTTAGAGCTGTAATAATAAGTTATGAAATATTTGTTGTTTTAAATAAATTAATTGATAGTGTAGTTGTGGTCCTGCTACAAAGATCTGAGATTTTGTAGTCTGCAAAAATTCAATAACATAAATTTAACATCAAATAATATCCTCTTCCAAAATGGACAGTTGTACCATGTAGTGTACTATGTTACCACTTGCAGAAGCCCACGAGAAGAAAATCTGACTTCTGACAGATCTATATAGATTAATGACTGTAGTTTTTTTATTTTCAGTTCTTAACTGAATGAGGCTGCTAAGGTCAGTTTCTTGCACTGATGACAGCCATGGCATAGCATTCTGCATCAAGCTTTGGTTTTGGAAAAGCATTGAGTTGCTTACTGTTTGATGACTAGGGCTGTCTAGAAGAAGACACATCAGGCACCTTGCACAGATAATGGAAAAGAGATGGTGTATTTTCTGGTTAAAGTTTAAATTGAAGTCAGCACATGCATTGCATGAAATCAACCCAAATGTGATTGTATAATCAGAGTACAGCTCTTGCTTGGCATTCCCATTGCTGCAGAATGAGTTCAACAGGTTCTGAGGAAATGCTGGCAAGTTACATTGTCTTGCTGTAGGTTAGGAACTAGGAGAAGTCTTAGGAACCAGGATAAAGCCTGTCCCCTAATATCTCCTAGGTCAGTCTTTTAACCTTCTTCCTCCAAGGACAGGCCCAAGTTGTACCAGTTCTTACATAACAACTGCCACCACCTGCCTCCCCTGTACCTTATGAGCATCGACCTAAGTCTGTGACTCTGTCAGCCAGATGACCCATTGCAGCTTCAGGTAGCTCCTATAGACACAGACCACTGCTTCACTTGTGAAGGATAAACTTTTAGACAAAAATGTCAAAAAACAGCTAGAGGAAGCCAGTCAGAGAAAAGCATGTCTAGCATAATCACAGCACTGCAGTGCAGAACACAATTCCCAAAGAAACCAGAAGGCACTTTCCTGGGTGCCTTGTCCACAATAATAAATTGCACTTAAACGACAGGAGACCAGAGTTTATTTTAGCCATGTACTTGTGGCTGGGCAGATGGGCACCAGCCTTTCATCTGCCACACTCAGTTGGCTGCCTTGTAAATGTGGCCTCCAGCATGAGTGTTCTGGCTCACTGAAAAGCAGGTGAGATAATGTGAGGACTTCTTCATCCCCCCATCAGAGTCTGTTTTGTTGAAAAAATGTGGCCACAGGGTTGAGTCAGTATAGTGCAGGGAGGGTTTGTCCTCAGTCACAAGTAATCACAGACCTTCTCCCATCCTCAAGGAGAGTTATTTCTCTTTATATCCCCCAGAGAGCTGAATAGAAGGGATGCCCTAGGACACTGTTGTTTCAGCTTTACAAAGAATTCTGACACAGAGGGACTGGTTGGAAAACTAAAGAGTGTGGTTAGATGTATCCAACTATAAAGCCTCTTTGCTCCTCAGACAGGACTTCACTCTTGGGGTCCTCCATTCCAAGTTCTCCATTCTTGATCAGTAATGGGAATTTTGGGGGTTTTTTCCCTATCTGTCTTAACACCTGTGACTTGTACATCATAAAAAATGTCACTCAGCAAACTTTGGCTTGTTGTCAACATGAGTCTGAAAGAAGATTAATAAGAATTTCACCTTCAAATTCTACAGATGAAAAAATACTGTAAGAAAACACCACAGTAGTGAACCTCACAGAAAGGCACAAGTAATGACATACTCATTTCCTGTAATACATGTAACACAGAAATAATAAAAACAGCTCCTTGACCATATTTCCTGTTGATTAACTGTCTCAACATCAATGACTTTTTTTCTGGGTAGATGCAACTTAAAAGAGGAAATAACTTAATTAAAACAGACCTTTCACAAAGAAAGCACCTCTCTGCCTAAACCCTAAGTGTGAACATTTGGATCCACAGTGAACTGTCTGGTAAGAAACTAGAGAATCACACACCCCAGTATCCAGCAACTGGAGCAGTTAGTTCAGTCCACAGAACTGGTTTCTCTTATTGTACAGGCACTCCTATCAGATAAATGTTATTTCAGATAAATGTTACCTATATAAAATCAGTTTATCTGCAGAGCCAAGAGCAAATTCAGGCTGCCTTGGTCTTAAGACTTTCTCTCTTCTATTCACATTTACTTCAAGGTGGTGCTTAAAAAGTAAGTTGTTTAAAGACCTTGATATGCAAGACTGACCCACATCACTGATAAGATTGATCAACACTGCAAGGTTTGGGGATTTTTTCTGAGAGTTTTAGTTGGTTGGGTTTGAATTTTTTTTCTCTCGTCACGTTTTACTTTGTTTTATACTCAAGTCGTGGCACAAGCAGGAGCAGGACAAGGCACTCATACAACATTACATATCAGTCCTTCAGATGTAAGCAACTTAGGAGCAGTCAGTAACAATGATCTGCAACATCAAGACTTTTCTGCCCAGATTCATGTGAGCCATGAGCATCTACACCATAACATCAATTTTTTTTTAAATACTTAGAAGCCTGCTAGTGTTACTTTGCTCTAACAAAACAGCCTCTTATCTTAAAAGCTACAGTTTTGTCATCACTGCTCTTTTTTTTCCAAAGGTAGGATTCTGTTTATTTACAAAGCAAAGTAGGGCTTTCAGTCATCTGAAGTAAAGATTAAAAGGATCAAAAGAAAAAGGTGCTTACATGTCTTAGGGCTGACAAGAAAACAACAACCATCAAGCCATCCTTTTGTCCTTGATCCACCCAGTGTCTAAAGCTCCTACAGAGTTTTCATTTAGGCTTAGCTGCAGAATGACGACACAATCTTGTTTCTCTGCTGTTCTGTACACTTTATCATTTTTAGCTATGCAAGAGTAGTTATAAGAATGATGCAGCCCAACTGACAGCATTTCATGATTCAAGTACAAATGGCTCCATCAGACAGTGGGGAAAAAGGGTTACTTTTTTCCTCAGCAATGTTTTGTACAATGTTTATGAGTAAGAGAACTAGAACATCAGCATAAATAAAAATTAAGCCCAGGAGTTCCATTTGTAGCCCCTAAGGCAGGCTGTTCTATTGTGGTGACAGCACAGTTTCTAACCAACAAGCCATTCTAATAATGTTCTTTAGTGCACGACTACTGTTCCTGTGTCTGAGTACCTGGGAGAGGCAGCAGCCCCAGGCCACAGCCTGGGATAGGTAGAAATAGAAATGGAAAATGAATGTTAAAGAGAATACAGGGAAAAAAGGTGAAAGGAAACTAGTTACTGATTCCATCTTTTAAAAAATGGTGAGATCTATTATTGGGTAGAGCACAGGTGCAGAGTGGCCTTCAAATGAATTTTAGAGCTCCCTCAATTTTTCTGCCTTTGTATCATAGCGCTTCTTTTTGAGATCTAAAATTTTAGGTAATGGGAAAAAAAACCCACAAAATTGGAACTCAAGGTCTACTTCAGAAAGCTATAGGAAAGTGTATCCCACTTTAATTTTTGACCACCCAAGGAGCATACATTGATAAGCAATTGCAGGGCACTACAGTTGTGTGATGTCTCCAAAGCCATCAATCTTTTTTCTCTGGCACTTCCCAGGCACTTAACCTGCTGTTCTCAGAGCTGACACCTGGTATGTACACAGATTACAAGGAACAGAACAGCAACCAGCGGTTTTAACAAAAATAATTTCTCACTCTCCAAAACAACCAAACCAGATACAAGCAATCTAATCTTCCTTTTTCCTTTAGTGACATCTGCTTCATTCAGAAACAACCACCTTCAGTTTGTATTCCAGTAGTAAAGCAAGTGATATGCAAACAGGTGAGCAGTAAATTAATCTGCCCCAGCCATTGCCCCAGCACGGGTCACAGCCAGTCAAGGGATCCAGTTTCAAAACCTGTAGCAGGTCGTGGGCCAGCGGAAGTTGAGCATGTCACAGGGATAAAGCATCACTGGGAAGGGAAAAGAAGAATCAGCACTTACCACTGGCATGACAAATCTGCTGAGCTGTACGGCACTCATAGCTCATCTCCATTTCAGCCACCTTAAAGAAAGCCTAGGAGGACTCCAGGGTGTGAGGGAGTTGAGTAGCAACAAGAATTGTTAATTCAGATGAATAGTACCAAAATTAAGGATGAAGTGTCTACCATGCAGAGGAACTTTTCTGTTCTTTGTAGAAAGTTTCCAGAGTAGCTGGGTTCCTAAGGGTACCTTTTAGCTGACCCACTAAGCTAAAATTCTAGCTGACAGCAAAGGGCAGGAGGTGTGCCTGACAGCCGGGTGACAATACACAAAACTTCACTTGCATTCATCTTTGAAACCATGACACTGGCCTGCAATTTTGGACTGGAGGGATGCCAGACATCCCCACAGGGACCAGCACAGGCTGCTGCTGCCGTGCCCTTGCTGCTCTTGCAGATCACAGGCTTCAGCACACACAGGTTCCCCTACAATCCTTCCAGCCCTACCACATTGGAGGAATGAAATCAGACCTTGAGAAGGGCGGCAAGGAAAGGCTACATAAATGGAGTAGGGAGGCCTCTGAAACCTGAGAGAGAGAAACTCAGAGCCTCAGGCTGGCAGGCAACAGAGCTGTGCTGTCCCATTCTCGTAGAGGACAGGCAGGGTGATCTGTAGCACGAGGTGCAGAGCTCTCTGCAGTTATCCAAAGAATTCAGCAAGCCTGTAGGACTCCCCTTACAGTATCTGTGTGAGGGCTGCAGCATACTTTACATCTCACAGCAGCCAGAGACTGGTTCCAGATGAGTAACACAACTACGAGATGACCCCAGCTCTTCCAAGTATCTGTTTCTCTCACTCATAAGCATGCTCACATGCCAAAGAAGTGAAGCAACATGTTAAAGGCCATCAGCTCTCCTGTCAGCCTGAGAATTCCTTGCAGGACCTCAGAGGTGTAGCCTCTCCAATCAGAAATTCAGCTCAGAGGCATTTGACACCCTGCTTTTTCCCAGTGTTTGACACAAGTGAAACCAGAGATGACACAGCACAGGTTTGAAAGCTGGCTATGAGACTTCCCAAAAGCTAGGCACAACCATCTAAGATAACAGTGGATTGTAAGAAAAAGAAGAGCTCCTGAAGCTTTCATCTTGGTTTTCCCCTCCCCGGACACAAGCTTGCATAATGGCCACTCCCCTAGTTTTTAGCTGATAGTTTTAACTTTATACAGGGTTTCAGCCTAAACATCAGTCTTTAAAGGCCCTTACTATGCCTTTCCATAGGATGTGTTTTCTCCATGGCTCCTTCTCACTATTTCAACATCTTAGAGTCTCTGTTCGATTCACTCTGTGGTGCTATCAGATCTCCCCAAAGGATTCTTGGGCACATCTCCCCAGCCAGCTCCTTATTCCTCCCTTGACCTGAGGAAGCAGCTCGCAGGTGGGAGCACAGCCCTGCCATAAAACACCCGTGGTGCAGTCCCAGGCACACTCCAGTAACAAAGCTTAGGGGCAGGCGAGTGGTAGGATGGGCCAGCCTGTGGCCAAAGTTACCTTCCCAAATATCAGGAAATTCAACTTGTAGTATTTGTGCAGCGTTTCCAGAATGTCCATTACCCTCAGTTCTGCTTATTTGTCATTATTTAAACACCAGCACTATGCAGAAGAATAAGACTGACCTTTTGTCTGGAAAACAGGCTCAAATGGAGCATTTTACTTCCAGCTTGATGGCATATATGCACTGAAAATGCTAAACTCACAATGGCAGCCCTCCTAACACCATGACACTAAGGACAAATTTGCTCTGACTACAGGGAGTACATACACTCAGCAGTGCTCCTTATTTTGGGTAGATTGGGGATTTTTGCAATACATCAAAGCTACTGCATCTGATACTTCTCATTTGGATTTCTATTGCTGTTCTGGTTGAGCTAGAAACTTCTCAGCTCCCATAAGTTTCTCATACACCACATCCTGGAGCTCTGGCCAGATGTGCCAAATCCAAGCATCAAGTCACGTCCCTGTCAGCCAACTCTGGCTCTAATGGGCCAGAAGTCTCTAATGGGGATTTTACTGTGGCTGGAAAATAATAGCTGCAGTTTAAAACCATTTGGATTTAGAGGAGATTAAGGTTTCTGAAGATACCTTTACCAGAGGTCTAAAACCAGTATAAATAATAAGTATGATCAAAACTGCTGAATGCTTTATCATGAGCCTTGGGTCCCAGGAAGGCACATTTTCCTCTTCTGATTTTGAATCCATGTCTAATAAAAGAGCTTTGCTACACTGAACATGGTACAGGACATTCCCCAGGGAATGGGAACTGATCAGACAAGTACAGATGAATCTATGGTATGTAATTGTCTTACCTGATGCTGATTACTGCTTTCAAACTGAGTGCCCATAGAAGACAAAATTTTAGTTAAAAGCCTGATTGTTTCAGATGTAGCTAGGTGGACAATGCCCTAGACTTTTAGCAAACACAAGGGAAATGCAATTGTCCAGTGTGAAACTATAATGTCCAGTGTGCAATTCTTGCATTCACCCCACAAAGCCTCCTGCTGTACCAGGGGTGTAGAGCAAGCTGTTGGATCACCTCCCTTTTTAACTCAATGCCAATCTAGAATGAAAATAACTTCAATGCTAGCTGTTGGCAGCAGCTCCAATGATAGTAAGCATACGATCAACTGTTCTCTCACACGCTTTTGGAAAGGGTTGTCCAACTTTCCAAAGTTTTTAATCCCTCCTACACTTAAATGTTAGAGGGAAACTGGAAGTTAAGCACCAAGAATAGCCTTAGAAAATGCAAAACATTGTGAAAAATTATGACAGTGCAGCAGGCACAAGATTTTCCTGCCACAGAGATGACATCTATTAGTACCTGACAGCAAAAGTTTTATAGCCAGTACTTGAAGCACATCAGCAGACAGATCACACCTTTGTGAACTGAAGGCAAAGTCCCAGTCTAGGACTACACATGAACAGTAAGTTCTCATATTTTTCCTTTAATAATGGAACAATAAAAACTCATAATTGCTTCAAATATTTATTTCCATGGCAAAAATAGACTATAATATATTCATTTCACATATATTACATTCAGTAATACAAGCTTTTTTGTCTATGAAACACAATTTATACATTGTTTTACAAACCAATTTCAGTTTTACAAGAATTAAAGCTGGTTTGATTATACATTTTTACAGTATTGGTGGCAAGACAGCAAAAAATAGACATGTTAACTGCTAGCTTAGTACTAGAAAATAATACTTCATGTTTGCTACTTTTAAACAAAGTCCCATTTAAATCCTTGCACACTGGCTCAAGTGAAAACTGAAGAAAATGGAGCCAGATCCTGTGTTCCTCTGACACTAAGGACTCAATCCTACAAAACTGCTGATAGGATTTCTTAAGGTCTGTTTTCTTTTAATGAATGAAGATATTTCAGCAGTGTGCAGGAGTGTACATACTTGCTGATTCGCCAGGTAAAGCCTCTTAAATTTCCATCCAAGTGCCCCCAGAAAAGCCACAAAGAGGACAGATAAGTTGGGTATTTCAAAGCAATTTAAGCAAGTATCTTTGTAAAGAGCACACACAACTTGTCTGTCAGAATTTTCCAGGATTAGCAAGATTTCACAGGGGTTTTCTCCATCAAATTTCCTACCATTCTAAAAATTAATGGCATTTGTAACGTCTTTTAAGTATATTAAAAGAAAGTCTCCTAATTTTACTTAAATATTTCCAAATGGAAAAAGAGCATTTAATTCCCTTTATAAAAGTTAGGCACCTTCTGAAACTCATAAAATTAATAATTTGGTAGTTTTGATTGCTGCATATCTGAACCAAAAGAACATTACAATATCTACAGCCTTGCTCTTTGACTTGCCACAGGCTGGATCTGTTGTAAACTCGGTTCATTAGATTCTTTACATTTGATTTCAATCTTCGTTCCCTAAGTAGAGCTGAAGAATAGACTTCAACCTAACAAACACACTGGAGGTTATTCCTCACCACTGAAAGCAGCATGATGTGGAAAACATCAAAGAATAGAACCAAAGTCTATTTAGTAATTTTTTTTTTTTAAATGCTCATTTAAGTTAACAAATCCTTTTTTTTCAGCCAGTTAGACCTTAAAGTAACATGTGATGCCAACAGAGTACACCAAGTTAGCTGGTCCCGAGCAAGATTGTACTCAGAATTCTTTTTCTTCAACTTCTTTTTTTATAGACATGTTTGCAACAGCAGTTAAAAGTTTAAGATTTTTCTCCCTTACATTAGCACAGTATCACATTGTTTTAATGTCACTGTGCTGCAAATGCTTCACTGCAACAGAACGTCTAAGTACATGGTGAATTCCACATTTCAAGAGTCTCATTGTTAGCCCAGCCTTAAATTGGTGCAACTCACACCAACTGTAAACATCTGGCTTCATTCAAAACATAGTCAAACTTTGGAATCATCTCACCTGCATCCATTAGAAATTATTACTGCAAAATTGCAAGTATGCCTATTGCCCCTGCATTTTGTGTATGTAAAACCAGAGACTGTGGTTTGAAAAATCTGACCTTTAGTAAGTAAACAGAAATTGAGCTGACAGATTGCATTCAATACATTTGGAAAGGAAGATATGTAAAAATATTTGGAGTTTAAAAAATCACATTTTAAAAAGCCAGTAAAAATAACACCTATGACTACATATTCACTTACCCTACCATGCCATGAAAAACATACCATATGACTCAAACCCTACTAGCAGCTCTACTTTGGATACAAAACATTCCAAATCCTCCTCCAAATGCTTTCTGCCACTCCTCAAATCCTCACTCTCTATGTCCAAAATTCTGTTCTTGCACAAGAGAATTTCTTTTGAACTCTCATCTACTTTTCCTCTGAATGCTGTACTTTCCTGTATGCACATTCCTGATGCATTCTTTTGGTTAATTCTTGTAATCTGTATTTAAATTTAAAGCAGACGTGCATATTCGTGCTTCAAGAGCTCAAGCTTTCATTGGCAGTAAGCCCATTTTAATTCCTACAGTATCATGAAGAACTGCAGGAATTTTGCATCTTGCAGGGCTGGACTCTGGCTTTTCACAATTTTGCTCTATCAAAAAAACCCTAAACACTAAAGCACTGAGTTCTTAGCAACTGAAGCACAGATTCTTTTAAATTGAGAATTTAAACTATTGAAATAGAGAAATGGGTTCACTGTTTTTAAGTTCAGGGATTTAGTAATTTAGCTATTGATATTAAAACTGAGGTCTCATTACACAGCTATGATAAACAACGCTGCAGTTTCCAAGTTTGGTCCAGAAGCCATTGAAATATATGAGCCACTCAACTTTAACAGCTGTTCCAACACAAAATATGCAGCAGCAGCAGGAGCAGCAGCCTCAGTCTTACTTATTAAATTTAAAGGAGCCATTTTGGAGAAAATTTCTCTGAGTGTTGCCCACTTCAAAAAGAGATACACAGGATTACAGTAGGAGCCAAACGTAAAATGTCAAGAATCTTTTCCACCTCAGTAAAAATTTATTTTCCTTTTATTTTTAATTACTGTATTTTAGGGTTTTTTCTAAATGTTGGTGATAACATAGAGCAGCTTTTCATCCATAGAGATACAGGAACACTGCCTTGGTCACCTGCTTTGAATTAAATATATTTCTATATATAAACTGTAGCACCCTGCACTTTTATTGTTCACTTGGGTGAAAGGTATTCCAAGGACAGAAATACTAAGGCATAAAACTTTTCCTGAGGGACAGCAGAAAAGGAGGACACTGCTGTGCAGGATGCAGAGGCTAAGCAAAACTCCCCTGTGCACCTCAGAGCTTCTCCCTCTTCAACAGGGCCAGGAGGGACCTGCAGCCCAAAGCTAACCCAGCTGAGTCAGTGACATGTAATGGACAGGCTCTGACTTAGCTTCTTAGAGAACAGGTTTTAGCCCAAGACTACAAAGATTCACTGGCCAAAAAATCTTTCATAGAGTAACCAAGAAAGAAACCAAATATGCAGAAGTCCTTACTACAGTTTGCATGTTCTTCTCCTGTCTCTCCATAAAATTTGATCCTAGAAAGCATCTTCTAACCTAGTCAACAAAAAACCACCAAATCTGTCTCTTGACAGTATATAGCACCTTTATTTGTCCCTGAGAGCTCTGACATCCCTAGAGATCAGCATCATCTTTGCCATTTGCTGCAAAAATTTTTCATACAACTTTTCTTACAAAACAAACTCTGTTCAAATCTTGCATAATCATCTGATTTCATCCCCATAAAAACAGATACACATTTGGCAAAATTGGACAGGCTTTTAGAAAAATTTTAAGTTTTTTTACAAATAAATCCACCTCTGACTCACACTGTGACTGGATTTGGACAGTGGATATTTTTAAAACATCCAAACCTTCATGAAGCACCCAGCACAACTACATGTAAAAATGCATCCCTTTTCAAGGCTCAGATCAAAAGTGCTAAAAACTGAATTGTCATTTATAAGTTAACTGAAAATCTAAACATTTTAAAAAATATTTTTTATAGAAGGTTGTGAAGTTTAATTTCATTTGGTATCTAGAAGAGAAACTTCTCATTTTCAATGCTCACTCAGAGCCATATGCTTACAAACAAAAGCCATCCTACAGTGTTCAGTAGAAAAACTCACATAAAGTCAAGTCTAATAAGGTCAAGTCTATTACTGCAAAAACAGACTGCTGATGGACAGAACTGGAAGCTGAAGGGAAGGAGGTAGCAGTGTTGCACTAAAAAAACCAAAACTGTGACTACCAGATTTGAGCACAACCACCTCTAAAAGTGAACACAACTTCTTTTAGCTAGAAACAGAAAAATAAGCCATAAGACACACATTTCCTCACCCACCTCAGATAATCCCATAAATACTGGATTAAATTGCTTCTCATAACTGCTCCTTTTAATGCCTCACAGCTGACGTTGTGTCTCAGAAACTGCTGCTTGAAGTTCTGGTTGTCCATCATGTCATTAAAACTGCATCTATCAGGTTATGAAGATCACAGTGCAAAGTTTAGAAATGCAGGAGGTACAAGCTACATTTTAGAGCCTGCCCTCCCATTCAAAAAGATTTCTAGAGATAGAAGTAAACTGTGGTAAAAATTAACAATGTTTTTAAAACACAGCATGACACAAATAGCAAAGTATGCTTGCTTCTTTCAATACTTCTGTCAACACGGATATGTCAGATTGGTATGTTTGCAAGGTTTATATATAAAGAATCACTAACTGGTTTCCTCTGGACTTCCAGTTTTATATTTGGCAATTAATAATTCCTAGGAATTTTATATAAGAACAACATTTATTTTCCTTAGTCTGAAGTATTCATTCTAATTTATAGTGAGAGTACAACAAATCAGACTGCTTCTAAGCAGACCTGAAAGCACCAGATCAATATTGTGTACCTAAAAGTAATATATTTTGTATTAAATGACATACTAGTACAATGTATTTTGGACCATGTGTTTAAATTCATGGAAGCAGCTTACTACAGAGGAAATTTAGGCAACCTATTTATAATTCTTAATTCATGTTTTGGGACACAACTATTTTTTTGAAGGGGGTTTAAGAGTTTCCAAATCCTTGTTAGAGCTCAGAAAAATAACAATTCCAGCGCTAATAAACCTGGCTTTTAGTTTCATTTCATTTCACTAAGCAGGTATCAAGGGAAATGTACACTTAACCATGCCTGCAGACTGGTCTACTATAAGTTTTTTTTGAAATTAAACAAGATATCTAAAATCTACAGCTCAATTTGGAATAGGGATTTTCAACTCAGCATCTCAAAACACTTGGAAAGGCAGCGAAAACCAGGCTGTCCTCACTGAAAACCACAGAGGATTATTTAGGGATATTGTCATTTGACCAGCCCCACGGGACAAAATGGAAATTACTGTAGGCTGTACCTGCCCACCTCAGGTCCATGCCACAGCCACTGACTCAGCCACCTACACAGCTGCTAAATTACTCACATCTCCAGTGTTTCCTCCAGGATCTCTTCTTCTGCAAGTTCTCAAATGTTCTTCATTTCAACACTGCACAGCATTAGCAAAATCTGCTCTAGCACTAACAAAATAATCTGGAGGATTCTACAGAAACTTCCAGTGCTTTACTGGCTTTCTTGGCTGGGAACATTAACTTTTTTTTAAGGTCATCTTTGCACTGTGTAAACCAGCAATCATAGCTGCCACACCTCCTCCATTACACTTCATTCAATCATTTCCACTTCACCAACTCTGCACCTTCCTACTCTCATTTTAGTTCTCTCACTTCATCAACTTAAAAAGCTCTTCTTAAAATAACAGGTTAGTAATGGTATATTACCAAATGAAACAATGCATGATTATAGTCTCTATATTTAGCTACATAAATAACAGAGCAAAAAAAAAAGTGCTTAAAACATTTTCATCCATTTTGATTTCAGCCAGTAAAATCAAACTGTCCTCTAAATATATGAATAATACTGAATATGTACTTTCTCTCATCCATTTGTTTCCAATAATCTCGTATATATTTAAAATATTTTTCCCCTGCCCGCTGCAGGTAAGCACTCTCTTCTCAAATGAAAGTTATCAACAGTTACCATTATTGTTCACTTGTCTGTTCTATTACATGGTGCTGCAACTACCAACAGCTTCCCTGGGACTTTCTGCATGATTTTTGAAAAGTTGGTTCAAACATTGTTAGTCTTCTCCTCTGAAAATAGTTATGTTTAAAAAGTTTTCTGTTGTGGTGTTTTGTTTTGTCTTTTTTTATTTAAAAAATCCTAAATATAAAAATAACTGTCCTTAAAGCAACAGCTTAAGATACCTAAGAGCTGCTAATTTTGTTAAGTAAACCAGAGGAAACCAAATGTTCATTTTAAAAAATATAGATGTATTGCTCTAAATATAAAATTGAAAGCAGAATCAAACTGCATAAGACCTTGACATTCCCAAGGGGCAGGTTTCTGACCCCATGTGCACCTACAGATTTTAGCTTTTGCAAAGTCAACAATTACGTTTCAAAACATAATGTTAGTAAAATTGTACTATATACCTCCATTCCATAAGATACTTATTTTGCTCAGAGTAACACCGCTCTAAAGAATGTGTGCAAGTAAAATCATTCCTTAGTGTGACTGTGGCTGAACATGGGAAGAATTCAGTCCAGTGAAGATCCTGCTGTGCAGGGACTGTTACACTGACTCATGGCAGCCCTAAATGGTAACGCTGTGATTCATCATATGAAGAGAACACCAGTGAGAGCAGGTCTGGACAACTCTTGATTTTCTTTCTGTAAACTCTTGCAGAGTCTCTTAGGAAATCATATGGGTTAGATAAGTCTAGAACTTTTGAGAAACTGAATGAGAACTCCATAGACGAAAGTGTATTGCGAAAGAGTCTGCACCATCATCATTCTCTGCTGCCTCAACATATCCAGCACTCGTGGGATGTCCAGCATCTGGAAGAGAACAAAACATTACAAGTGACTGGCAAGCAAGGAAACTGGCTTGCACTTTCCCAGCAGGAGATTCAGAGCAGTACCTTAGTGATCTAAGGACAGAATCAACTGTTCTGATTTCAGCTCTGACAATTCATTGCCCATGCCTGCAGTAAGGACTGCACTACACCACTGATCATCTAGGAAATATGCATAATAGTAAAGTTACCTATCTCATGAGGTATTGGTCTTCACAAATCTAATGGCTGAAAAAGTCTGTCACAGTGTTAGGAGAGGAATGCGCAATGAAACAATAAGTTTGTTGAGTTTCAGCTGATATATTATATTATATTATTAATGAACATTTTACAGCTGTCCACTTCTGGCTACAAGTTGATGGGACTGATTTTACTCTATTAAACTACCACTTTGTCCTCTACTCCTGATACTGCAAATACACTGCACTTAGGAACAAAATAATAATAAGTACAGAGACTGGCTAGAAAGTATGTTCTTGAATATTTTCCATTCTAATTAAGGCAAGGAGCGGTAAAGTCAGGATGAAATCCTGAAATATGCTCGGTGGCCTAGGGCATACTTGCTCCACTCAATGACTCAAAATCTTAGGGAGTCAAGAATCCAAATGAGCATTCCAGTGCCTGGTGTGAATGTGGGCAGCTCTAGAAGATTATTAACTCCTGTTGAATTCCCAAGAGCCATTTCAAGCAAAGCTGTAAGACCTCTCCAATGGCTCTGATGAACAGTCGTAACATATTTTGGGTAGGTTATTGCTCTCCTATTACCTAACATAATTTAAAGCAGAAGAAAGAAAAAGAGCTCACCTCATTGTGCTCCAAGCAGGCGATCATGATCTCTGCCAGTATGACCACCCCTGTCCGCCCCACGCCCGCGCTGCAGTGCACCAGCAGGGGAGGATTTGAGCTTTTCGGCTCTGCTGTGCTGTTCGTGTGGCGCCGCACCGACTGGATCTCCTCCAAGTACGCTTTAAGTTCAACAGAAGAGTAATTAATTTAGGAGATGGAGCCCCATAAGCTCTGCTATTACACTGTATGACACCAGAAAGTAGTGATTTAACAGTGGACATGCCACAGGAAAACGATATATTATGTAAATCAACAAGTCATGCCCCAACCATAGCCATACAGATCCACAAGGCTCATCTAACTTCTGTAAGGATTTCCTTGCCTTGTTCCCCTATTCCTACTAAGGATGGCTTGTGACCATCTTGCTCCTGCTGCAACATACTCAAATGTGCAGTATGGGGTACAATTATGTTTTATTCTATACGGACTTCTAGTATATTATTTGCTTTAGACAGAAGGAGTCACTTTAATAAAATATCAGGTATATCACTGCCAAAAATATCGTTCAATATCTCTCCCTGGTGTAAAGAAACCTTTTACAATGGAATGCTTGGCATACTTGTCAAAAGCTACTTCATGTATAGCAGCCATTTTAGAAGATATTAAAAAAAACACCACAAACCACACCCCAAAATAAAGCTATTAAATACAACTTACATAAAAATCCCTTTAAATCTTCTGGACAGCCATGCTCTGGCCAGTCAGTATACTGCAAATGCCAAACTGTTCTCTCCTGTCCTGTGAGAAGATGTTTAATCTTCAAACCTGTGGTTGCATAGCAGCCCGAGTCGGTACGGAATCGCGTGGTAATCTTAAATCTTCCATATGTCACAGTGTTGTGTCTTGAGCCAAGACGTGGCCAGTATCTGAAGCTTTTTTCTCTCCCACTTTCCTTAAAAGCAGAACACGTGTTTAACAAGAAACCTAAGAACAGTCATACAACTAATGTTCCTAATGTTACTAATGTAGTAACAACTGCATCTCTCCTCTGCTAAGCAGTTCTAGCGTGTTATGGCCTCTTACTGAGAAAACCAACTTTTCAGCAGAAAGTTTGGCAATTCATTTTTCTGACGAAGAAATCAAGGCCCAAAGGGGTCACTAGAAACTTATCTTTGATCTGTCTATTTGTTGGAGCAAATATCTCCTTCCTTTAACAGATTATAAAAAAATAATTGTGGAATTTCTGGGAGAAACCTGACTCAATTTATACTCACTTCCTCCGCTGTCACCATAGCTATGATGGCAATCCCTTGTTCCCAGATCATCTGCCAGAAATCCTGACACGTATTTTGCAAAGGGCCCTGCGTGGCAATGTAATCCCACTCTATGCCACCAACAGAGATCTGTAAAAAGAAAGACATGAGATTAGTAATTGAAAACCCTCTCTCCAGTTCTAACATCAGCCATTTGAAGATGCACAAAATGAAAAGACTGCAACACCACAAAAGTAGGAGCCCATTGTGAGTTATACTGCCCCAATATTTTAGCTTGTCACATTAGATGCAGAAGAAACACAATTGTATAGGTTCATAGGTAAATAAATGTATTTTACATCATAAGCATTGTGCAAAACTGAGAAAAAAAGTTGTATTTCTCTTTTGTGAATTTAAGATACTTTAGCAAATCCAAGTTTAGAGAAGCTTTTATACTCTGGGGCTGTAAACACTATTATAGTACTAGTTGTTATTTCCTGAAAAAATATTATCTTGCTTAAGAAGAGTCAACATTTGTGAATGAAGCAGAGAAATTATGATGCCATCTCGGTATTCAAACAGATTTATTACAAAAAGACAGCAACACAACTACAAATGCTGCCTTGAAAAATCTCAAATCTTTATGGAAAAAGCATGAAGCCAACTGTACTTGCACGTAGAGCAGATAAATGTATTGAAAAATGAATGAACTGCCTTCCACATTCTTGAAGTCGCCTTTCAAATTTTTTTAAACAGAGCTTAGAGAGTTAAGGATGAGGAAAGAGGGCAGCTGAAGGTTTTGAAAAAGCCAATTTCCCCCTGGCTCTGGCGGGTCCTCTAACCATGGAAAAAAACTTAAGCTAGGAGCTAGCTTACTGCCGATTGTGGATACAGTCTGAGAGTGCAGAAAAAGAAGAAACTATGATTGTTACTGCAACTAAAAAATATCAGTCATTGCAGAGGATCCCAGTTTGTTTTAAACCTATTTGCCTCCTTAGTTCTGGGAAGAATGGACATGCCTTCTGTTAGCAGCAATCCCCAGACAGGGACCACAGAATGGAGACAGTAGATCAAATAGAGACAGAAGCAAAATGCAGAAGATCCCTCCAATAATTAACCCTCCATTATTGTAGGTGATTAGGAAAGCAGGTTCCTGCTTTCCCCAAAGAAACTTCTGGAGAAGAAAAGAAAGAGAGAGAAAGAGATGGAGGGATTGTCACTCACTCATCTTACCAAACCAAAACTGACAGCCAAATGCATTTTTAGTTACCACATGAACTGGAAAATTTTTCTCCCAGAGTATTTCTCTCACCTTGATATGAGATGCATTGATGTAACCCGTGTTGTTTTCTTTGGTTGGGACCAGCTCTACTCTGGTATCATCATAAGGAAGGACGTCCTGGAAGCGGTTTCTCTCAGCATTTTCAGGCAGCCGAGCTATTGAGCACTCGCCATCCATCAGCCTTTTCTTCTGGATGCGCTCGTATTCCGTGAACACCATCCCCTGCTCCAGCCGCTGCTCCAGCATTTTACACTGCAAGGCACAACACACGGAACCATGCAAAGGCACATTCTGAGGGGAGTCTGTTCTAACAGAGAATTCATGAAGGATAAAATGTATGTACTTTCTTCTCCTACATATTTCTTCAATGCCTTCACAGCTATTAATGTTTCCACAAACATACCAGAATAAATTAGAGGCAACCCTAACCAGCAGGAATTTTGTTCAAGTGCAAACTAAGCAGCATGTTATACTTCACTAGGTCACAAAGATTTATGTGGATGCTGCTGGTAAAGGAAAAATTACTTCATAGCTTCTGTAAAGACAGCCCAGCTGGGGAGAAAAAAATTGGCCAACCAGACAGCTATGCCGTACTGCATGATGACTTCAAATACCTTTGATCCACCTGCTCAATACAACAGCTAAATGACATAATTTGAAAATTCTCCTTTAACCTTATAGTAATAAAACCCCCCAAAATAATAATAAAAAACCACACAAACTTAGTTGTTTGGATAGCAAAAACCTGAATTTTGCTTACAGTAGGAAAGCTACCTTAGAAACTTGCTGCAGTTAATTTACAAATCCAGAATTTTTTCTAATAGTATAATTCAATCTTTTTTATTTAATAAGCTGCTCTCTCCTCCCCTTTATTCTTTTGAAACCAGGTTGTTTCTAAATCATAAGACACTTCTGGAATTTCTGCATGTCTTTGCCAACAATAATTAGAGGAATAATATGTAAGATTTCAGCCAGAAAATTTCATCTATGTCACATGTCCCCAGATTCTTACAGCAACTGCTCTGTGGTATCAGGTCATAGAAGTGTCTTATATCAAGTAAGTATGCCAAATGCTGCAGAGGAAGGTGTAAACTTCCATCATATGCAATTTGCACACCAATACATCAACTGTACAAACTCCTTTATTATCTTTAGGCTAAATTCACATATTTAAACTGATAATAACATGAAACTGAGCAATGAAACAGGCATTGAATCAACACTAAACTTATCTTTTAAAATACTTGCACTCTGGACTTCCTTTTATGTCATATGTCTACTTTGCATTGCCTCTTCTCAACTCTTTTAGGAACTACTCCCGTTTCATGGAATTTATTCTACCTCTACATGACTGCCTGAAGAGAAAGTGTAGTGACATGACTTTGTCAGAATCTGACTTTGTGGTTTCTTCTTTGCCACAATGCTTTGGGCAGAGCTAGCTGAAATACAAACACAGCTGAATACAGCAAAGGTCAACCCAGAAAGAGATGATGGCTCTAGCTAAGAGGAAATAACCAACACAGGTACTAAACCTGCACCTCAGTAACACAATGTTAATTTTTGTCCCTTAGCATCTTAAGCAATGTATATGTAGTTCAACACAGTTTTTACTGAGTGATTTGCAATTAATTTTCTTGGCCTGTTCATTTAAAGTGCAGCTGGTGAGAGGTGAGAGTAGGACTATTCCTTCAGGTTCTAATCCCTAGCATAGATCCCTAGTGACTAGAAACAAAATTGAGGAGACCTGCAGCTGAGGCTGCCCAACCATGCTCAGAATCAGAGTCTACAGATACCACTGGTTGTAGAATGGGCAATAATCACTGTAGAACTTGGTGTACCTAGTTGCTCCATGGTCAGATGTATGATGGCAGCACTGCTCTTTATAGCCCATCACAGCCTGAATATTGACCGTATTTCACTTTCCTGCACTTCTTTAATGCTATATGAGACAGGCTGAAGCAGATTTACTGATTTTTTTTATCCTGACACAAGCTGATGGAGTCTTATATTTCTCAAAGAATGATCCTCAAATTGTAGAACTTGATGCCCTCTCATTGATCTGACATCTTTTACTGAGTTTAAAATTTCAGCAGATCAGACAAGTTCTGTCTATATGTTATGGGTTCTACCTGAAGAAAACAGATAAATACAATCTGCACAAGTTGTATTCTGGGGATGCAATTTAGCTGTGAAACTTAGTCTAAACACCATGTGAATTTTTAATAATTGCAAATAAATCAATATGACAGTCAGAATTTTAAGTTTCACAACTTTTCACTCTGGAAAACCCAAAATTAAGAAAGAAAACACTATCAGTAGCACAAAAATATATCAGTAGGTACTAGTTAATTCACTTCCTGTATGTTCAGAGAGTAAACTATAGTTGAATCACAGTCATCTTAAAGAAAAATCTGAGTTACACCTAATATTTCTAGCAACGACTTGTCAATTAGGAATCTTTTTATTTTGTTTCTATTCTCAGCATCTGGGTTGCCTTAATCTGAAGCATTTTACAGTCAATAAAATATACCTTCATAATAAAGTAATTTTGAAAAATTGCTAGTGTAAATCAAGCATTAAAAAACTTCCACATACTCGTTCATCATTTGTTGCTCTTGTTGATTCTTCCTTCCCCTCATCTGGCAGAGGCATTCTAGTCAATGCTAGTCCATTTAGGGCAGCTAGCTTCAGTGGCCCCATTTTTTTTGCATCATTTTTATTCTTTTTCATACCCTGCAAAAGAAAAGCTAAAACTTGTAAATATTATTAAATATCAGATGCAGTTATAAAGCAGAAACCAGATGAGTTCAACTAAGCAAAATATATTTCTCTGGCCCCTCCTGTGAACAGCTCTGACCTTTTTCTTTGATAAGCACTGCAGTGAGAGATTAGGGTGGTGGGACTACATTCCTCCAAGGACACAACACAAGTCTGTCTTCATTCCAGACTGGTTAATGAAACTGCATGAGAATGACAAATATTGTTCTCTACAAAGCTCATGACTGAGGGTGTGTGGTGGCAACTTCAGATAATTAACATTCTTGAACAGACCTGGGATCACTTCCCAAACCCAAAATACATAAAAGTTATTCCTTACTAGACTATTCTGTTTGCAGGCACTTCCCTACAATCAGACAATGACCATATAACTTTCAGATATTTGGATAAAGTGTTTTACTGAGTTTGCAACAGACATGACATACAAAACACAAACACAGAACTGCAGACAGATTTGAGTCCTGAACCGGGCCATGAATCTAAATTATGGAATTACCATCCATTATTTCATGAAAAATATCAAAGGGAAATTTCTATGAAAGAATCAATTCAAATAATTCTTTTAAACAGGGTAAGAGGAAACTTCATCATTCCTGCTGTTGCTAAGTTTAATTGTTAATAAAAATACACTGAAAATATGAGCACATATGCTGCTTGAATGATAATCAGTGGTTTCAAAAGTTAAATGGAGGTAAGAAGCAGGAAGACAAAACTAAGAGTGTGAGACTTCATTTAAAAGTGAACTCAAATACAAAAATAAAAAGCTCATTGAAAAGCAACATGTGCAAGCACTGGTAGGGGCCAGCTTTGTAACCAGGATATTCACCTCAGTTATGAATACAGAAAGGTAATTTTCTGTATTATGCAACAACACTCTTAAATGTTTCTGGCTAGGAACTATGTTACAAACATTTTTAATGAAAGAGTTCTAATATTAATTTAATTTAAAGGTTGACAGGAACATGTCCTAATTACATAACTGTCAAAAGGAAAAGCAGGGTATGATCCTAGTAAACACATTACTGTCTGAAAATGTATCTTTTGGAGAACAAATACTAAGTAACTATCTAAATGTGAACACGAGGAGGAAGATATCCCTTTTTTTCCCCTATATCCACATTAAAAAAACAGGAGAAAGAAGATGTAGAAAAACATACATAACTATAAAATGAATTTAAGCTGATGGAGGTTCATTTCATTGTGTTCAGCTCCATGTATAGCACATCTGACAGACAAAAACTTGTGAGAGTAGTAACTATTTCAATACATAGCTTTTTCACAGGTTCTTTTTTGCAGTATCTGCTGTTACCACAGCAGTACCAGTTATATAACAGTTCCCTTGCAGTCCAATTTGACTATTTGACACTAACTCAGGTATCAATTGATTTTAAAAGGCAAAATAATAATAAAACTGGTCTTCCTCTATTAGCACCTGAAATCTGCCACAAACTACATAGAATTGAACAACAGTTTAAAGCAAAGTGGGCTCTAAGGAGTGCCAGTGAAATTGTGCAGTCCACATAGACCTTGATGTTTCTGTGAGGTGGGGAATACAGGAAAGGTAAAACTTGCAGATTTTCACTATTTACGGTGTCCTAAGATTGGAATAGGAGAAAAAGATATGGCAAACAAGACATACTCTCAATGGGATAAAAACATCTTGAAGAGAAGGCAAAAGGGAAAGGATATGGAAAAGGGAAGGCATGAAGTAAAGAAGAGAATGCAAGGAAAGAATTTATTCCTTAAGTTGTCAGGTTCCCTCTTGGGTCAGAAGAATCAGGCAAACAAATTTTTTAAAAAGTAAACATTCCAGCTACGTATCATTTTTCAGTGAGAGGAAGATGAGCAAGTTGAATGGAAAGAGTGGCTTCTGCTCTAGATAAGAAGTAGGGCAGAACAGGGATCTAGAACTGATTTTAAATTAGCTCCTTCTAAAGCTTCTAGCCAGGTTAGGTTTTCAGATGGATGGAGACTGTGCAGCTGGATTTGTGTGGGTGGACTAAACAAACAGAACTCAGGCATGGCAGAGAAGGGAATAAAAGATAACAAAGTTAACCAGGGAAACACAGAACTATAAAGGTCAAGCTTTAGGTATCTTTTAATTTATATGTTTTAAAAGCATCTCAGGCTGATTAAAAGAACCCCAAACCTCAAACAAATACAACAATCAACTGGTACAGACAACCCAAAACAAGACAAATAGTATCCACTTACACCTAGAGGGGGAAGGCCTTCCACAATATTCTTCTTCCCAGACAAAAGATCGGACACGGGTCTCTTCTTTACTGAATCTTTCCTTACTCTGTATCTCCCTGATGTTGTAAGATCAGATTCTGACATAGATGGAGTAAGCAGTCCTTCCCCTCTTCTCTGTACCTGGCTTTCTACTAGTAAATGAACAGGGCTCATATCTTTCATTCTCTTTTCTGCCTCTGTGATATGTAATTTAGGTTCAAGAATATGCAAAGGGCCAGCAGATGAAGCAACAGAGCTATAAGGATAGTTTAGTACTGAATCATGAGAATAACCTCCCATAACAGATGAAAGTTGAGTTTGATCTTCAGGGAGAGGAGAAAGACTTGTACTGGCCTTATTCTCTTCTTCAAATTCTTCTTCTTCCTCACTACTGTGAATCAGCATAGTGGCATCTGAAAGGGTTTTCTTGTGATCACAGTTCACGCATTCTTCTTGCTCACCTTCTTTTTGCTTCGTTCTCTCCATCAGAATGTTGGGCTGTGACCCTTCTGAGATAACTCTTGGAAGAGCCACATCTGCTGCAGAAGCTGACATGGTCCTCTCTTTAATTCTTATTCCTTCAAAGCTGGGAGTCAAGCCTGCTATTTCAATACTGTTCCTTTTCTGCAGCTGAGCATGGCGTGCCGATGTTAGAGGTTCACTGACCTCTTGAAGAGAATGTGCCACAGGCAGGCTGTCTTCCTGAAATGTCTGGACAGAATGGTGCACTCGCCTTGTGATAAGATCTGGATTGCTGCTGCTGATGTAGATGTGTCGAGAAAGGTCTGGAGTACTATTTGCAGGCCTTGGGTACGGGTATGGGGGAGGTGGTCGATAGACTTGAGTCTTCATTATATTTGGTGCTGGGTAATCCTGAGACTGGAGCTGCACATTTGTCAACTCAGGCACACTGACTGCCCCAACAACTGGGCGCTTTTCAGCAGGATAGGGATAGGGGGATTGGCTATGGAAGCTGTAGTTCAGGTTAAATGGATAATGGTTAGACTGTGGGGCAGCAAAGTGGGCATGCTCTCGAATTTCAGGCTGACTGTAAACTAAGGCATCAGGCCTGCTGTAAGCATATGAGTTGCTGATATTAAGATTTCTCATTGAATGACTCTGTCTATCTGTGTGCACCATGCCCCTGTTGAGCTGTCTCATCACAGTCTCATAGTCTGGTGTGGGACGATAAGAAGGTGGTATTAGTGCACTGTGTCTGTGTGATGGGACATAATCAGTTCTGAGGACATCACTTCCAGTAATGCTTGGGTTAGAGGACATGGGGGATGGCTGCAAGTAATGCTGTGGATTGTTCAAGGAGTTTGTGCTGTGTGCACTATAGACACTCCCATTGCGGATCCGACCACTGTAGTCGTGAGGGGTTCTATCCAAGCTAGTCTGAGAGTGACAGTAGTATCCATTCTGATTGCTCACAAAGAGGTTATCTGAAAGTAAAGTTTAAGAACAATCTTTATGTCCAGAACATCAAACAAATCCTCAAATACTTATCCTCTATTAAGATGTAGCTAAGGCAATGTTTGAGATTTTCCAAACCTCACTTATTCTTAGCTATGTATTGAAATGGGAAGGAAAAAAACCCAAACCAAAATCCCAGATTTTCTGTTGATGTTGATACTCAAGGTATATACACCAGAATAACTTATATTTATTTCGATCATGCAAATCCCTATGGGAAAACACCGTCTGTTTACAAATTACTTTCTTCTGTTTAGAATAGGTTACCTAAGTTTCAGTCCAAGAAAAACAAAGTCCATATCAACCTTAAACCACACCACTGAAAAAATGAATATCTACACTAGGATTTGCACTAATGTAATCAGTTTGAACAGCAAAGAAACAGAGGGAAAAAAAAGCAAAACAAAACAAAAAACCACCAAAACCCTAAAAACAGCCCCATAACAAGGAAACAAAAACCCTTGCTCTTCTCTGTACTTCTCCTTCAGGATGTATGTAGACATAGCATCACATGACCTCAAAAAAAAAAATCAGATTTTCTCCAGAAATTTTGGAGGCAGTTTAAACTTCCACCATGTCTTGTTTGTACATATTATATATGTATACACTTTAAAGAAAATGGTCTAACAGTTTATATATCCAAGACATATTTAATCATTTTAATTACTACTTCATTGGATGTACAATTTGCCAATCTCCAGAGAAGAACAATTAAGTCATTGCTATAGATGTAGATGATTTAACTGTTTGGGTTCACCAAAATAATTGCCACACTTATGTTAATGAATTTGCTGACAATCAAAAATTGTTTTATGAAAAAAATGTTCAAAAATAGGACACTTGCAGTAGCAACTACCCTGCAATACTTACAACCCTAAACTGCAAAGAATTCAGTTATGTTCTGAATGTAGCTGAATACCTGCATTTCATTCAGACCTGTGTAACTCTGTTTTGATAGAAAATGTGCTTATTCCCTTCCCAATGAGCTGGCTTTTTAGAGTACTATTTATCCAGGAGATTTGAGAGGAAAGTTCCTGTCAAATTTGAGGAGACTTTGCAACAGACTAGGTTCAGCCCTTGAGGGCAGCAACTTTGTTAATTAAAGACACAATGTGTAACAATGAAAATAATGAGAGTAAGCAGCCATGACTCTGCTATAAGCTGCTAAGATAAGGAGTCTAATTGCTTGAGAATATTAGTCAGAGTTTGCTCTTTGTTTCAATCAAATATATACCAAGTCCATAACCTGCAAACTTTTTAGCCTTTGAATTCCTCAACACCTTATAGTCCAGCAAACTTAGACAAATGTCTCTCTTCCTGCATTCTGGGTTTAATCTTTTTTTAATTTTATTTTTTAGTTGTGTGAATTGTCTTGAGGCAATCTCTTTGCAGCTATTAAGACCAATATTGACAAGGATCTCACAATGCCATAACATACCAGTTTGATACACAAGCCAAAAAAAGTCAGCTTAAACTCACACAAGACATCTACAATTGCTGTACATGCTATCCTAACTGGATCTGCTCATCTCCCATAGGAGAGGATATGGAGGAGGAACAGTGGAGGAAATTGGGGTTGTTTAGCCTGGAGAAAAAGTGGCTCAGGGAGAACTTTACTGCTCTCTACAACTATCTGAAAGAAGGCTGCAGTGAGGTGTGTTTGTATCCTCCCAGGTAACAAGCGGCAGGACCAAGAGGGAATGGCCTCAAGTTGCACCCGGGAAGGTTTAGATTGGATATTAGGAAATTTCTTCTTGGAAAGGGTGGTGAAACATTGGAACAGGCTTGTCCAGGGAAGTGGTGGAGTCACCACCCCTGGAGTTATTTAACAGACATGTAGATTTGGCACATGTGGACATGGTTTAGTGATGGATTTGACAGTTGTGTTGATGGCTGGACATGATGATCCTAAAGGTCTTTTCCAACCTAAACAATTTGGTGATTCCATGACTGCATTTCACATTCTATGTGTCTAGAGTAGCAGCAAGCACTTCAATGAGTGTTCCAGTACGAACCTACCTCATGTTCACCTCCTAATTTATTCAGCTATAGCTAAAGTAGCTAAAAATATAAATTATAGTTTTTACCTTCTAAAACTGTGTAGTGTGGCCATGGATTTAGTGAACTTACCTTGGGAAGATGCATATGGCTCACTATAATGACCATTGTAATGCAGCTGAGGTGGTGGAGGCATCATATAAGGCTGAGGCTTGGGCTAAGAAAGCAAACATCTTACTGTTACTTAAAAATTGATTATTCATTTAAAAAATAATTATTGAAGTATTTTTAATACATAATGTATACCATATAGATGCATAATATTATATATAATGTATACATATTATATATAATACTATACATATAGTAATAACAAGCATTATATATTATATTCTAAAAGCATATAATATTACAAATAAACACATACAAAGCCTTAGTCTTAAACCACTTTTTAAATCTGCAATGTAAGTTTCACCTTTGAGGTCATAAAATAAGTAATTTAAAAACCAGGAAAAAAACTTTAAATCACACTCTACTAACCCAAGACTGTATCTTGCCATCTCACATCTAGGACAGTCTCCTAGAGACAGTGTTCAAACTGAAAACAGAAGTGTTGAAGATATTCTTCATTGCAATTGCTTTAATTTCACTATTTAGATATTGCATTGCAGCTCTTCCTACAAGTCAGAAAGAGTTCCTCACATACTAGACTCATCTTTTTCACTGCTCATTTAATTTCACTGAAGGGAACCAATATTTGATTCAAAGTCAACTGAAATCCATAAAAATGCAAACATAAAGCTATTTGCTTTCCTTACCATGGACATCCTGGATGAAGATCGTCTTCTAACAGGATTCACTGTAACAGGCTGAGTTTGTCTACAGAAGAAATTTAATGGTAAGAAATTATTCTTAACAATTAGCAAGACCCATTTCAAACATGAGAAAGCACTCCCAAGTTCAATTAAAAATCACTCTACATTTCCAGGACAAAGGCCTGTGTTAGTCTTGCACAAGAGTCTCAAAAGGAAAGAGCTCTGTGCATTAGCCACCATCACAAAGCAAAAATCAAAAGCTCAAGATCAAAATACCTCAGTTAATCTCCTGTTCTACAAGTTGTCTGCTCTACAAGTCAGACATAAAACTGTATGGGGACTGTAACGTTACAGATGTCATAGGAACTGGAAAGCATTACTATACTGCGTTAGCATTTCTAACATTTATGCTAATGGGAATGAATTTTCATAATTTGTTGGACTGGCTCCAGGACATAAAGTTCAGAAGTCTTAAGCTCCTTTCCCCCCCACCTTACACTGCACCTGTGCTCTGCATCTCATAGCAAGACAAGTCAAAACACAGCATGATACAAATGCAGGAACTGCTATTTTTTAGTGAGAAACATGTTTTTAAGCTCACCCTTTGGGAAGTGAAGGACGAGAAAGGATTGGAAAGCGTGGAAGGGAAAGAATGAGGGAAGATTTCTGAGAGGCCTCCTCAGGTGGACAGTCCAAGGAGTCTCTAAAGACAAGGTATGTAGAGATATAGGAAAAAACCCTGAAGTTGATGCAGGCATGCATAAGAGTTTTCAGCAGCAGGACCAGATGATAAGAAATCTTAAGAGCAGAGATAATCAGTAAAATATTTTGAGGACTTAACCTCATGTAAAACCACATTGTGGTGAAACAATTACAGTAAGTAGTCCTAGAGACTGACATTTAATATAGAACTACAGATCTGACCTTATTTAGACAGAAATGCACAAGCCCCATGAATGCACTACTTCTACCAATGCTTCTTATCACTCTTAAAAGACAGACAAGTTTACAAGCTTTGAGGTATGAGGTTTGCTCTATTTCAAATTTATCTTACTCCTCAAATAAATTAGCATTAAACATGTTAATGAGTCACCTGAGGCACAAAATACTTGATTATCTTTGCACTGACCTCAGCAGATATCAAACATCTGTCTTCCCATGTACGAAGAGGAGTGAAACATGGGAATCATGATTTTCCAATTATAGGCTATACACTGTGTCTAATTCTCTATTCTTTGACTGAAAAAATTTAACTGAAGGAAAGCCATTCCAGTAAAGTAGCTCAAATTCCAGCCATTGATTTACAAGTTGGAGACCAGCCCATTTAAATTTAATTTGATGAATTGTATTAAATTTACTTTGCACTGGTGCTACTTGAGCTATAGAGATTCCACGGATACCTAAAGAACCACATACCTCTTAGCTGTCAATCCAGCACATTTCAGGAGTGCTTCACATACACTGCCCGCCCTTTTACAGCCTCGAGTGTCCTTTCAGAGCAGTTCATCCAAACACAGGCCAAAACCCTGCTGGTTCCAGTAGCTCACAAGCACTAGCAATATTAGACCCCAAAGCAACTCAAGTCTCTCATAGCACTGTGATCCAGAAGTGAAGGCCAAACATCATTACTTATGGTAAGATTTCAGCACTTCATATGGTCCTCTGTTATAAAGCAGGATGTATTTCAAAAACTGGTGGTAAGTACTTTCTCAAAAAAGATTAAGAAAATGAACCCAAGTCATTAATTACTACCATCTAAAAAGGACAGTAAAGACTTTAGAGAGGAAGGGGGACATTTCACTTCCCAATGGAAGCTGCAAGGGCACCAAGAGTTCTGCTAATGCATTCTACTTACAAGCTGCATTTATTTAGTCTGTAAAATTTGTGTCTAGCCACACACATCCTCCACACATATTTTGCTGTTTCCATATCTTCCTGCCAAAAAAACAAAACCCAACATTTACATTAAGTCAAACATTCATACCCTTCACTTGCTTTCAGACAAGCCACTGAAATTTTTAAGATTAAATTACCATTGACTGATTTAATTTTAATGTAACTTCATTAATGTCACCAGGTTTTCCCTAAAACTCTACTTTGCAGACCCAAATATACACTCTAGACTAGCAATTTTCTTAGACTTATGAAATTTGAAAGTAGAAGCCTTTTGCTCAAGACACTTACCAGCTCTAATACTAACATAATTTATTTTTCAGGTTGCCATAAGATTGTCAACAGCTGCCTTTTGACAAAAGCAACTGGAAGATGCTGAATAAAATTAATTCTGCAAGGAATGCCGTGGCCCATTCCAGCAAAGCTCTAAGGCTATATTTATCTTTAATTGACAGTGATTCAAGTCAAAAAACATGCTAGAAAATTTTACTGTAATGGATGAAAATGTTTATGACCACAAACACTTCAATGTACTCAACACAAAAGGTCCAGTTTTAACGCCTTCCCATAGAAAGCTGGCCAAAGACAGTGTTAATACATTTGACTCACTCATGCAGTTTAAAGCTGCTAAATATATAAATAGTAGATCTTAACTTTTAGTTAAATTATCAGTTTTAATTTTTTTTTATTTACTGATGAGTTAATAAAAAAAAAAAGTACTCACAGTTTGGAACTGAATTGTCTCTTCTTTGTTTGCCAATTCTAATGCGAAGAAGGATTTATTGTGGGACATGTTGGCAATATCATGCCACCTGCAGACAAAAGGGACAGGATATGACTGGACAAGCTCTGACTTTCAAACCACAAAAAATGCAAGTGCAAAGCAGAACCACCATCAAGAATTTAGACAAATTTACTCATCAGTAAATTATAATGTCCCAATTGCTTGAAAGCAAACAAAACATTCCAGGGGAAAAAAACTTAAACCTACACTAAACAAAGCGTTTAAGGCATTATTATGCACATTTTCTAGAACTCTTGCACATTGACAGATAAAAAAAATTTGGATTGCATAAAATATATTTTTTCATCTTATTTTTAAATGCATATTTAGCTTGAACCACTAGTATTATGTTAGTGTAAATAAAGGTTGTATCATAGATTTATTAAAAGAATATTCTGCAGTACATAAACCCATGGAAAAAAACATGACCCTCATATAGGGCTCTCTCTAAAGGCATTTTTATGGCTCCCATTTGCATTACATAGAGGTGTCTGTTAGCACTTTCTGTAGCTATTGCCTCATGTATATGAGGTAGAGAAACATTAATGTCTCCATTTTAATGTAGAACAAAAATCCCTCAAATCTAAGGCCTTGGTTCATAAGCCTTTGTGGGCACAACTATGAAATTACCTGAACCAATCTCAAGCATAATCCAGTCTTTGTAAATTATACTAATGGGTCATTTGTCTACGCTTTATTGCCACCCAAATAACATGATATTGCTATCCATGCTGGAATTGCCAAAATTCATACAACAAACAAGCAAAAGAGCAGAAAACTGGATCTTGATATTGGAATAGAAATACTTTCTGATGCTTCCCAATGTGCAACTTTTTCCTATATTTACAGTCACTGCATCCACAATTCTTTGAGATTTTATGTGAAATGCATGAACAAAACTTTATTCCTCTCCCTGTGTGTTTGGTAAGTACAGCTGTTGTTTAATGCTGTAGGAAAGCAGAGAAGGGCACTTTGACAACTCCAGGCAATTAAAAAGAGCTCAGCATCAGCTCTCCTATCACAGCAGAGATAGAAATTTTTCTGAAGGACATTTACAGTAATGAATTTCTAAATTCTGTTAAAACAAAACTACTAACAGAAAGAAGCAGAGTTGGCTACTTTCTCTAATCCCAGAAATTCACCAATAGTGAAGTTCCAGTAACTCTTGGACCATAGGATTTCAAGACTTTTGTTCACATTCAGTCAGAAATTCAATTCTAGGAGATTAAAGTTCACTAAGAATAAACCATTCCTTGTTTTAGCAAAAAATCTCAAAATGTTTTTTAAGAAATCATTCTGAATTCTGCTCAAAGATGCCCAAGCAACCCCTCTCAAAGTCAGCAGGAAGCCATTTCATGTGAAGACTGAATTTTAAGTGTTTAGGTAAGTCAGAGCTCTGTTTATAATTTATAAGAACATTCAATGATAAACTAAAACAATGCATGAATCCAAAATAATAAAACAAATGTTATCTTGTAACTCTCCACATATATTTATGATATATAAAAGGAACTTCCAGACAGTTTCACAAATGAGTATTTCTGTATGAATGGATATGACAGTCTCAGGATTTAAGATGCTCTATGTGCAGAGAATTGCTCCTTTTTGATTCAAGAAATGTTTTGCAATGCAACTGCATATAAAATATTCATGTCTTAGAATTAATCTGTTTTAAAGAGATTAATTTTGCAGTTAATACATTGAGAAATTCCCACTGGCTTCAGTATTCACTGTAGCATGATGACTATGAGAGTATGTTCAGGTTTATCAAATGCATAAATACACATCATATCTAAGAGCATTGATGCCTGTGAGGAACACATTTAAAATGTGAAGTTCACTAAGATATTTTATGAAAGAACAATACTAACCTAAATACAACAGGAGGACGACCATTTTTGTGTTTAACAAAGATACCATCAAGACATGCTCCAATGAATATGTCACTTCCTTGGCTGTCCTGTAAGAAGTTGCAAAAAATTATGCAAGTCCAGAAAAAAAGTCTTTGAAAGCAAAGTTACATACGAAACAACTGCTTTTATAATTCTGGAGGAGAAAATTCTCGGTGGTTTGTGGTTCAGGTTTTATTTACTTTTGGCAGGAAGTAACCACTCTAAACAGGGAGAAAAGGGCAATTAGACAAAAATCAAAACCTCATTTACCTTTGCAGGATAGGTCTCTTCACCATAGCCCTCCATTCTTTCTACTTCTTGCATATATAACATTTCTGCATCAGGAGGAGTAAGGCCTCTACAAATAAAACAGCAATCAGCTAATACTGCCAATAAGAAAAAGTCATCTTTGCTTTACTCTGAATGACACTGTCAAAGCTTAAAAAGCATCCCCAGGACATGCAGGCAACCATTAAATCGTGCTATTTCTATCTGTACCAGTGGCTGATACATTTGGCTCAGCCTTTACACTTCGATTCTAATAGCTTCTTTCTCTTTGGCATCTTTAGTGTAAATAGCAACAAAGACCAGTTAAAATTACCATCTCTACTAATGGCAGACAATTATCACATTCTTGATCAAATCCAGCAGTGTCTCCACATTTCCTCATTTTATCAGAAGCACACACGTTCAAGACATGAATGTCCTCTATATTGCTATAGGGGAAATACAAAGTCTGGCATTTTGCATTTCAGAAAAGACAGTTTCATCTTCTAAATGCTGACTATTTTACTGTAATACTTTGAAAATATGAGGACAAGATCTGTAGGTAAAGGTAGAATTCTTTACAATTAGACCAACTGACAGTTTTCTCACAGACTTGCAGGAGTATCATGGAACTTAAAAGCTTGTGTTTACCTACCCACCAACACACCTCAGTTACCTCATAAATAATGTCATAAAAGACTTTATTTCTACCTGAAAAATCCTATCATGCTCATTGTTATGTCTCTCAATACTTTTTCAATCATAAATATCTCAATTTCTCCACTTTTTCCTAATGTCATGAAGATTAAGTTTTCTTTGCTGAACCTGAACCACGTAATCTTGTTACAAGCGCATTTCAAAGATAAATGAAACTGCAATTTTCTAACTGTTGTTTTATAACAATACGGGGTAAATATTCAGTATTACTCACATAGTCACAAACGTTTTTCACTAATGAACTGATAAAGAGAACTTAACTTTCCTTTGTCCTGGACTACTGCACCTTAGCTCCCTTCTACCCAAGATCATAAGCATTCTGGCACAGTTACTGGTCTCTACATTTCTCCTGCTCATAATACCTCCCAGTGTTGTTTATTAAGAAACATCCCTACTGGGGTCAGAACTTCATATAAACAAGAGTCAGAAACACTATATGTTGAAGTCACACTATTTAATTGTGTCTCATACTCTTTTCAAGCTGAATCCTCTAATTTATTTTAATAAATATTCTGTTTTCTGTTTCATTTTCATTCAGCAAAAGCTCTTGTAACTTTAATAGATATACTAGAGAAAAAACTCATTTAAATGAGAAGTGAAATTAGTCCAATTGTATTTCAAGATTCACAACTTTCTGAGCTACAGAAGCTACTGAAGACTGAAATTAAGCACTGAAGCACTTTAGACTTACCTGTACTTCTGATGTAGCAAGGCAACTTTCTGTGTTGCTTCTTCCAGTATTTTTTCTTCTTGTAGCCAACCCTGAAGGTAAAATAGCATTTGTAGAATGAAATACAAAAAAAATTCTACAAAATCAAATGGTTATAGATTCTTTGCACATGCTAATCAACACTTGACTCTAGTCTTGGAGCTTAGATGCTGCAATATGCACAAATAAACCCTAAAAGCAGAAATACTGTTTTGAACTGGTTTTACTCACTTTCCCATCTGTACCTCAACCTTCTTTTCAGTGTAATATACAATAAAATTGAAAATATCTTACTACATCTTTGTTTTGGTGTAATATAGGGTGTCATATCTCATTCCAATCTCAAAGAAAATCTTTACTAAATTTGACAGCCTAGGGACCAGTAAGACAGACAGATCATGGAGGCTTGCTAAAAATTATTTCCATTTACCAATTTTAAGAAGCATTTAAATTTGTCAATTTAATAATTTAAATGCACCAATTTAAAGAAAGTACTTACCACTGGAAACAAAGCAAATCTTTGTAGAAACTCCTGAGATTCATACTGATCATAGTCTCCAAAATCCGCTAAAAATAAAAAAGATCTTGGATTCAAACACTTTTAACAAATTATTCAAAGCCCAATTAATTGTAGCAGGATCTCCAATTAGCAAACCTCTATCTTATTGAACTACAATATCAAAGCAAAATAAAACAACTAATCAATAAGGTTTATAAAGAGAAAAGGTTAAAAAAATTCCCATCTTTTTACCTTGTTCACAAAAATTGGTAACACTCCTTGTGGATTGAGAAGAAGAAATGATGAAACACTTAATATGGGAGTTATTTATATGAAAGGGGACCACCTCTGACACACTATACCTATACAGCTCTTGAGATAAAGCAGTGCTTAGAATTAACCTATTGTACTGCTTTTAAATACAGATCATTCTTGAAACAGCAAGCACTGCTTCTGTTCATTCACCAGCTAAAATTACTAACCTACCTGGTATAAGCTACCTCAGTCATTGGAGCACATTAACTTGGAACTGTGCTTTTTTTGAATTGTTTCTTCACTGTGTTATCAACACATACAATTCATCTCTTATACAGGAATAAAAAAGGAAGGTGAAACCTAAAAGGATGAATGTTTTTCCATCTGGAAAGAGGGTTATATTGAAAGATTTCTATAAACAACTCACTGAGCAGAGAGACATTTACACTGTCCAAATACATGGAAAAAACACAGCAAGGTTTCTTCAGTTGAAGACCATTAAAACCTGGCTTGCATTAAACAGATTCACTGTTACATAAACAAGGCATTAATACAATTTATCCTACTCCACTGGGAGCCATATTTCCAAAAAACATAATCAACATCTTTATTATGATAAAACCAATGTATATAACTAACAAAATACAAAAAAAAAAAAATTTGGTTGTATATACTGCCAGTGATTTTAAGTCCTGTTCAATTTTGGCAGTTTTACAATTGCTGTTAGATATACTGAAGTGGTATTCACTGTGAATGATATACAAATAACAATATACAAACATACTAAACACAGCTGTTGCCATTAAAAACTTTTGAGAGATTTAGTATCAGACCAGCACGTTGCAAGGAACACTGAACATGATCAGTGTAGACAGACTCAGGACTGGTATATACTCTATCCCATATGATCCTAGCTAAGAAAAATAAAATTGCCTTTTTCATATAGGTATCACAGAAATGTGTTTTCAGGAGTGACTTGAACACAAGAACTGTTAACAGTCTTGCACACTAACTTGAAATAATCTTATGTGATAGGAAATTTTGGATAAAAAGTGGGAATACAAGTACATTCAAAGTTGCTTATTTATGAAGATATGTCAGAATAAAGAGTCTTCATTAACAGAAACAGAGTAAGGGTCTATTGATATAGGCAGACAACTGAAGCCTTTGCCCCCAAAGGCACTCCAGTGTCTTAATTCAAATCCAGCTCCTGGAACTACATGTTAGATACCCAGGTACAACTCTGAGAACTGCACAGAAGCAAATTCAGGGCCACTGATTGAACTGTTCCTCTCCACAGCCCATATGACGAAGTCCTAAGGAGTAAGCCCCTTTCATAACTTACTGAATTGGCTCTTTTGAGTGACAAATAGAAAATTGGCAATAGAAAATATATCACCCAAGTATCTCATGCAATATTAGCTAGTTGGTACAATTTCTTACTTACCCTGAACTGCCAAACCAGCCAGACGTATTGCTTGTTCCAGTGTGCAAGGAATGTTGCCTTCCAAGATGTCTTTCTTTAATTGTAAGTAATACTGATACCTATGGGGTGGGGGGTGGTGGTGGAAAAAGAAAAAGCTAACATGGGCTTCTTAATTTTCAAGAGAGCATAGAAGACTATGCCTGCATTTCCTACTCCTCTCTGCATTCCCCAGTTTGAGTAGAGGGTAGTCTCCCTCATGATTTGGACACACTGCTTCAAAGCCTTTTAAAACTCCTGCCTCCCTCAACTTTCACATATCATTCTATAATCAGTGATGTCGAAGAACCTCCACAACTTCTATCTACTTACCAAACCCTCTTTTTCTTTTTTTCCTCTTTCTTCCTTAAAATTGTTGTTATTGTCTCTTCACATTGTTCAGCAAACTGCTGCTGGGTTGCTGCATTCTCTTCCAATAGATCTAACAATGTACATTCCCTCAATCCTAGTAGTGATTTTCATTTCTGCATTACAACTTCTGAGTACGTTTTGTTCTCACTTTCAAGGCACCTTCTTTTTTCTTTTAATCTATTCTTTTCCTGCATTATCTCTCATACATGCAACCACTACTACCTGTACTGTTTGTCCACAGCCTGAGCCACTATTTGCCTGTATTTTTCTGTCCCTTTCAGCCACTCAAGGAACTTTCTATCTGGAGCCCAAAACACCTCAAAATTGCCATTACAGCTACACAGACTTGGCCAAGGAAGGCATTTGTCTTCTGTAAGTCTAGTTTTAAAAAATTCTTCCTCATATTGTATGTTAACTCTAGTGAAGCAAGGTATTAATACTGAGAACATGGAAATATGTGCTATAACTCATTTAGTGATTAGAAAGGTCAGGTAAACTCCACATAATTTTTATTGATGTTAATGGACAGCTCTCTTCCATCACTGTTTACTGCCCTGCAAAATACAGTGATAATTTATAAATTGTGTTTAGATTCTTGGGGATCCTTCTACAAAAATCCAGTATATCATATGACAGTACATAACATCCCTAAACAACACACACAAGAACAGCTGGGACTAAACCCAGGTCTTAAAAAAACAGAAAAGATAAAGCCCAAGGCATTTGGGGAACACGTCTTCCTAGTCAAAAAGCAGAAGGTGAGCTCTTTTCAATAGAACAACTATTAAAAGTAAACATATAGATAGAGAATCTTAACACTACCTCAAGAGAGCACATCTCTTTTTATCTATAGCATTTCCACTTCCTGGTGTACATTAAACATATAATTTGCTTGAACATGTTCAATCTCATTTATATCAAACAGGCACGAAAAAACTCAGATTTCTGAAACTAACCCAGACCCTTGCTATCAAAGTAAGTATCACCCATCCTCTAGGACACAAGCTGGCACATAAATTCCTGCTTTCTACCAGGTAGCCCACTGCCAAATTTTTGTTAAAGCTCCAGCATAAACACCATATTCTTTAAATAAATGCCAGAGAAGGCTATTCAAGGTTTTTCAGGCAATTTAGCTTTCCAAAGCAATACTATAGTATTTATCTTACTCTAATATATTCTAGTACACCAACACAGAATATGAACCAGAGATCTTTAAGCCACTAAAATTGCCCAGAAACAGCACAAAATTTTAGAGTTTAAAAAAATAACTCTTTCAAAAATTACATATAAAACCAAAAACTAAAGCTGCCAAGCATTGAGCAGTACACAACAACACCAGTGTCTGCACCAAGAGGTCTGCATCTGGTGACCCTGAAAAGCTTTCACATCACAATTAGCAGGAAAGGTGTCTGGCAGGCTATTTTAGGAACAGAGACAGTTTCATGTAACCATAGAATAAATTAAGATGTAAAAGATCTCTGAGTGACCATCAGCTTCAACTCCCCACTCAGACCAGGGCCAACTTAAAGTTTTTAGCTTAAATGGGTTAGTTAATACAAACACATATTTTTGAAATAACAATTCATGTTTGCAATCAGCTATGTGTTTTGTACTCGACTGCCAATTAAAAATAATCATTAAATCAGAACTATACATATTAAGCCATTAGAAGCCAATGTACAGGCTCATTGGAATAACTGGCTAGTATATATGCTCAATTTTACTTTTTCCCCTGCAGTCAGTAACAATTATGTGACGTTCCCCAGTTTCAAAGTAGAAACATACATGTAATACCAGAACTAACATCCATATTTATGGCTCAGTGATACACAAAAAAAATCACAAGCTGAAGTCTAGACTGTAGCTTGCCAATGTACTGTACTAAAAGAACAGAAAGTACTGAAAGCAAACCAAAGAAAGCATAGCTTAAATCTGCAAGTGCTTTGTACAGGATAGATATCCATGAAAGCAATATATGGATCTCCAGAACAACAACAAAAAAAACCCAAAAACCAATCAACCAAACAAATCAAAAAGTCAAACATGAAGACGAAAACAATTAAAAGTCTGACCACGGAGGTATACCTGTTACTTAAAACAGGTTTGAGTAGATTCCTAAGATTACAAAAAAACTAGTTGCTTGCTTAGTTTATCACATATTTTAATTATTCCAAAGATAAATTAGCATACAGTTTGAACATAAATTTTGCCTAAAATAATTTTCATTTCTATAAAGGTAGGGGAGTGGAAAGCAGACAACTTTTAAATAAACTATACATTTCAGAACGCTGAGAGCAAATTTATAAACGTAGAAGTTTATATTAAGAGGTTTACCTGGTAATCTCCTGCTGAAGCTGAGAAACAGTAGGCACATAGAATACTACTCCAAAATACACAGTTGGCTCCAAGGCATATTTGTCCAGCTGCTTTTTCAGAGGCTTGTCCAGATCTACCCATCTGCGTTGATTCTGCTTATTATAATACCAGAGACTGAAATATGTAATCTGAAAAAGAGGCATTTCAATGATGAAAAAAAGTTAGTGTTGTGATATTAGATATCTGTAAAATACACTGTATGAAAGTCTTGCTACTTAAAAATAAATGTTTTAAAACACTAAGGCTATGGGTTATAGAAAACTTCAGGGAACTGCAGAGACATTTACTATAAAAAGCAGACATTACATTCAGATAACCAACTCAGGTACATAACGTCCCCCACCTAAAACTGTACCAGAACTACTCTTTATTTGGAAACAGTTCATAACTCATAACTCTGTTGTGCCAATTCACAGATGCAAGTAGTAGGCATTCATGTGTGACAGAAAATCTGAGGGAAGTGGGGGAGGCAAATGGAAAATGACATGGGACAGCAGTAGAGTAAAGCATGGCTTCTCTGGGGAGCTGGTAGGCAGGCTCCCATGGGATGCTGAAGGACAAAAGAGCACAGGACAGCTGCTCAGTCAAAGATGAGCTCATTAAAGCATATGCATGGCTCACTGCATGAGCAGGAAAATAACCACAGACAGCAGAGCAGGAAGATATCCTGCCTGAGTGGGCAACTCCTGACCCAGCCAAAACACAACATAGTGTGCACTGGAACAGACCACTCAGAGAGGCTGAGGGATCTCACCCTTGGAAGGTCAAAATCCCACTGGGCATCATCTTGAGCAATACAATCTAATTTTTATTAGATCCTCTCCCAGAAGGAGTTTGGATCAGAGTACTTTTTCTCTTGCTCCAAAATACAGTTCTAAATCCATACTGCAGAGTCACCTACTAAAATTTAAATTTCTCCACTATATTTAAACTGGCTAAGATCTGCTCTCACAGTACTTATTTCATTCAGTTCTGGACCAGTAAACAGATGTGGACTGGATAATATTCATGCCATTATCATAGCAAAACTAGATGTCATAATTAGAAGTGTTTTAACTGAGGGAGAGAGATAAGTGATTGTTATGAATTACCAATTAGGCTGGTAGGTATTTACATGAAAATTCTGCAAGCTCTTGCTACATAAACTTTAATGTATGTAAAAATTGTAGAAATACCTTTAATCCAATATTTTTCCTTCCATATTTTCAGACATTTTTAAGTTACACAAAATAAAGCTTTTAAGGATGAAGTTTTATAAAGCAGAGGAAATATTTATCATGATTTCTCTAAATAATTTCTGTGAACTAGCCATGGAAAAATTGTCTCCTTAGCTAAAAAAGTATTTACTCTTGTTTTCTCAAAAGCTCTAGCGTTTTGATATTGTGGAGCACAAATTTGAAATTCATTGGGGAGCAACAGCTTAGTAGAAAAAGGCCATTTCAGTATATTCCTGCAAAAACTCGCCCAATATACACATCTGAAAATTCTTATACATACATCTTCTTAGTTTACAGTCTAAACAGGATGAAGAGTCCACTCTCACAGGATTCCAGATTTTCCTTACAGCTCTGACAGGCTGACCACGTGTGCAACAACCACAGCACAGGCACCATAAACCCATCCCAAACCACACGGACAGCAACTGAATCCATATCAGTGCTCCAAATCAGCACAGACCATCAAGTAATTTGAGGCACAAATGTCAAGGTGTAACATTAAATTAATAAAACTATCTATTCCATAAAACCATTTTGACTGGGATATTCGCAAAAGTAGGAAATTAGAGCTAGTTCTAAGGCATAATGTTTCTTTGACATTGCATACTGGCAAAACGTACTTCTTTGCTCCTCTCTAAATCAGCATAAACACAGTTCTAAGTGATTGTTGGTGGGTTTTGGTGTTTGGAGGCTTTATTTCCCCAAGGTTTAAAAAAATCTTTATGTTAAAACTAGTGCTAGCTACCATGTAATTGCAAAATTAGTAAGATAAGATAAAAAAGAAACAGATAAAATCTGCCTATTTAGCTTCCTATTTAACCTTGAGATGCTTTCTATTAACTCTAAAGCAACTCTGACCCTCTGATAAAAAGACAGCCTATAATACAGAAAATCAATTTAATTAGAACTGTTCATAGAAGAAAAATGCATGTTTTTTCTGTATAGAGGAAGATATCTAGAGAAAGTGCAGAATGGAAAAGTTTAAAAATCACAATAGAGAACTAGATTATTCCCAAATAAGAAACAGAGTTCTCTGTATAGCAAACAACCAAATTTTTCTCAGGAGGACACAGTGTGCTCATCACTTCTAAATTCTGGAAGCCAAGATTTAGGAAGTCATAAAAACTTTGAGTTTCAAGAGGACAAAAGAAATATGGCTCTGAATATAAATAATATGAACAACACATTCCTCATTTCCCAGTCCAGGCACACAAAGTTTGCTGATAACTACATTTTATTTCTATTCTATTATTCTATTTATTTCTATTCTTCAATCCCCCAATCATTAGGTGACTACTATCACCCTACAAGGATATTGTGAAGACAGTATCTTAAATTCCATAAGATGCTAGGGAAAAAAACCCAAACAGTAGTACCACAGACACTCCGTTACAAAATAAATACCATGTTGTCTGCAACATTACGTGTTAAAAAGGATAAAATGTACTGAATGACTGACTACTCCTTAATCCTTCCTGCAGAGTGAGTAAGGAAAGGAGTGCATGTAAAAAGGTGTATTTCTCTTCCATCACAACTGCTAACACCATGCATGCAGTCACAGGAGCCAGAGTCAGACTGCGATGCTGACATTCTGCTCTGACCCAGCCCACTTCTCTGACAGGACAATCACATCAGCCTCAGGCTGAGCACCATCTAAAATGTGGAACCACAACATTCTGGGCAAGGGCAATGGCCATGGCAGACACTGAAAGCAAAGGGTAAGGGCTACAGCTGAAAAACTTCGATAGATGATGTCACACAAACACCTTTGGAAACCAAATAAAAATACATCCCAGAAAAGTACAGCTAATTGTTGAATAAACTAACTTGCATCCTTGGTGTACTTAAGTACCTCATAGAAGCACAGATGTATAACAAAGGTGAGGAGAAAGAGACCACAAACATTGCCACTGTTTTGAACTCCCTGATGTAAAATTCTCCTGGTTCTGCACCCTGAATTTAAACTGAATGTACAGACTATTTTGAAGGCATGATGATCACTTGAGTAGGTCTATTTCTTTGAAACACTGACCACTTTTTCTTGCCTACACACAGAACTGAGCAGTTACTGGCATAACGGACTAAGAAAAATGTTTTCACATTTTAAAATATCCTCTGGAATCCAGCATATCATTAAACAAGCCATGCAAAATACTACAGACCAAACCTGGTCTTCTGACTTCTATGCAAACCTTTCACTTCACTTCAAGGGCAGAATTTGATCCTATGAGTTTTCAGAGGAGCTTATGCACCCTGGAATATTCGCACTGATTAAAATAGAACCCACTTTTATTCATTGCTAAAACATTTTATTATTAGCAGCTCAGGACAACATCCAGTGCTAAAAAGAATGGCATGACATAATTCTTAAAATATGTTAAGCTGTTAAGATTAACACTACTTTGTGGTTCGTTTATTTTAGTGACTTATTCATGACCCAACCCCTCTGAAGAAAATCAAACAGAAATATAAAGAACATATAATTTCTGCAGAGTTAATTTCTATTTGCTTTCTGACACTAGATGCAGAAAATGTTTTTGCATAAAATTCCAAGAGCTATCAAAAACACAAAAGTACCAAAAGCCCCACACAGTATTTACAGCTCATAAGTTGGTGGGAGTGACTTCATCATTGAAATCACTCAGACTTCCTAAGCTAAGCAGAGGAGTTTCAGCTAAGCAGAGGTATGAGTGCCACAATACCACATTACTGCAGGTGACTATATTAGATCTTTTGTACTGTGAAAGTCAGAGAAGCGGTGCTGAGCAGCCTTAAAAGAGACAAGTAAAATTTTACTGTGGACTTCAATTGCCTAAGAGCAGGACACAGATAGAGAAGACAGAGCCAGAGTCTTTTTGGAAGTAATCACTGCAAGTATGAGAAGCACTGGGGACAAACTGCAATGTGGGAAATTCCAATTAGATCAGTAAAAAAATTTCACAACAAGACTAGCCAAACACTGGAACAGATAGCCCAAAGAGGTGTCAAATCTCCATCCTTGGAGGCACCTGGGTGGTAAACTCCCCCAGGCAGCCCCTGAACCACCTGATCCTCCTGAGCAGAGGGTAGGACCACGCAACCCTTGGAGGTCCCCTGAGGCACAGCAGTGTTCAAACTTTACTTCAACCTCACATATTTAATTATATATTTTCCAGTTAATTTCCATATTTTGCACTATAAATCTTACAAAATATGTCATAGATTACAAATAGTCTGGAAAGGAGAATTGTTTTCAAACGGTTCATACAGTATCTTCTAATAAATGCACTTGGCTATCTGCTTCAAGGGCACCTGAGAAATCGCTATCCTAAGATCTGAGGCAAAAAATCAGAAAAGAGAAAACAATAGCAGAAGAATGCAGTCAAAATATATTTTCAGGCTTTTCCTCTTTTACGCTGGTACATACAAATAAAACAGACCCTATAACTTCCCTGATCAGAATGCTGAAAACACCTTCTCATTATTGAAGGATAAGAACTACAGTCAAACTCCTAAAATCCCAGTTAGCCCAAGGGCTCCACCACGTCTAGCTTTGTTATATGCTTGGATACAGAACAGCTCCTGCTATCAGGATAGCACAGCTTAAATAAACCACGTGCAGGAGAAATGGGGCAATAATCTTATACTAAGCACAACTAGCAGATATCAAATGAAAGCTTTTCCCTACGCTCAGTGTTAAAACTACAGAAGGAGACAACAGGCCTTGAAAATTCTCCAGAAACTCCATTCTTATCACAGCAGACAACCTCCTCCACAAAACTTTCCAATCTCTAGCTGAGAAAGGATTTGGAGCAGCCTGGACTGGCCAGAGTACAATATCCAAGACTTCCTGGAAGTGGTGGAGAAAAAAGCCTCTATGCCACCAAGTAGAAATCTGCACTTCTCTGTATACTACCATGACCAATTCTTCA